CATTAATAAAAAAAAGTTAATAATTAATTTTATGGCTTTATAATAATTGTATAAAAATTAAAAAATTAATAATATTTGTTAAATTTATAACAAATATAATTTAACCAATGTAATGACGAAAGTTTTGTTAAATAAAATTATGTAAATATTAATAAAAAATAATTAAATTAATTTAAAATTAAAAAAATAAGTAAAAAAAAAAATTACAAAATAATAAAATAAATTAATTAACGGGAAAATTTATAATTAATTAATTATAAAAAGAAAATAAAATAAATAATAATTATATAATAATTAAAAAAAAAGTTATTTTTTTATAATAAAAGAAAAACATACGTATATAAATAAGTTATACTTTTAATATGGTTTTATAAATAATTTCTTTTTTTTAAACATTTTTAATATATTAATTTTAATATTATTATTATTTTAATTACTTTATTTATTGTTTTACCATACGTATGTATTTACTAATAATTAATAATATATTTAATTTATTTTTTTAACTTTTTTATATATTTATATAACATTACATTTTTATATATTAAATTTTAACGTTTAAAAATCTTTAACGTTTTAATTATTTAATATTAAATTTTATATAAAATATTTAAATATAATAATTTAATATTTTATAATTACGTAATATAAAATCCTTTTTTTTTTTTAATAATTTAAAGTTAATAATATTATTTTTTAAACTTTTAACTTTTTTTATATATTTATATTAAGTTTTAACGTTTGTTACGGCTATTGTTACGCGTTACGGTTAACGCGTTACGACCGGTGTTACGACCGGTGTTACGATTGTTATTACCATTTTTAACATTTTAAAAGACTTAAAACGCGTAAATTTAATCGATAAATTTAATGATAAAATTAATACGATTATATAATTAATTATTATTTATTATAAACGTATGTTAATATTATTATTTTAATAATATTATTAATGTTATTATTAATATTATTTTTTTAAAATATTAAACGTATATTTTTAATATATAAAATTTTAAAGTTATTTTAAATTATAAATTTAATGTTATTTTAAAAAGTTGTTTTAAGTTTTAATTGGTTAAAAAATAATGTAATTAAAAAAAATATAATTTTATAAATAATATTAAATTTATGGTTTAAATTTATTAAAATAAATTAATTATTATATTTTTTACGTAATAATAAAATTATTTAATTAATTTTATAAAAAATTTATTAAACGTGCGTTAAAATATGGTTAACCAATTAAAAACCAAACTTATATGTGGCGTAAAAAACATTTTTAAAGTTATTTAAACATTTCCCGTAAACGTTTGCGTAAACAAGTAACGCAATTAATAATAAATTATAAAAATTAATATATTAATATAATTAATTAACCGGAAACAATTACGAGTAAAGTTATTTTAATAAACTTAAATTAATAACGTAAATTTCGTTATACTTTTCTTGTTATACCTTTTTTTAACCAATTACATTTTTAATTTATTTTTTTTATAAATTTTACATTTTTAATTTAAAATAACTTAAGCAATTTTTATTATATTAAATTATTTAATATTAAAAATAATATTAAAAATAATAATATTAACGCGTTAAAAATAAATTTTAATTAATTTAAAACATTTATTAACTTTATTATTAATAAATATACGCGTTTTAAATATTTTTAAATGTTAAAAATAATTTATATTAATCGTAACACCGGTTATAACACCGGTTATAACACCGGTTATAACGTTTTTAAAAATATATTACGTTAAAGTTTATAACATTATAACGTAATGTTATATAAATATATAAAATAATTAAAAAACTTAAATAATTAAATTAAAAATTTTAAGTTATAAAAATAAAAAGTATTTTAAATGTAATTGTAAATGTAAATGTACGGATGTAAATATTAATACATTATTTTTGGTATTATTACGTGTTTTTAAACGTTAAAGTTTATAATATTATAACGTAATGTCGTATAAATATAAAAAAAAAATAAAAAAGTAAAAAAAACATAATATTAACTTTAAATTATAAAAATAAAAGTTATTTTATACGTTATTATTAAATATTAAATTATTGTAAATATAAAGTTTAATTTTTAAAAAGATTTGTTTTAACGTGGTTAAAAACGCCCGAGTTGTTTTAAATTAAAATTTATTAAAACTTATGTTTTAATTGCTTTTTTAAACCTGTAAACTTATAAATATAATAATACAAACCAGGCGTTTTATGGCGCTTGTGGCGCAATTGGGCGTAAGCTTGATTTTAACGAATTTTAGTTTAAGTTTACTGAGATAAAAGTAAAGATACTTTTTATATACGCAATGTTATTTCAATAGCTTAAACCAGAATTCGAAAAGCGGGCTTCGCCCGCTGGCTTACGCCACAAACGCCACAAAACGCATGGTCCATGTGTTTGTATCTGTGGGTCACGAGTTAAGTATTTTTCGAATTTTGGTTTGAGTCAATTTGGGCGCCAAGGCCGCAAAAGTGGCACAACTTTTTCAAAAATACCATGTTTATAATAACTTAATATTTAATAATAACGTACAAGATGGCTTCTATTTTTATGACTCGGGGCTAATATTTTACTTTTTTTACCTTTTTATCTTTTTTGCATATCCGTACGGTATCGCGTTGTGATATTGCAGGCCTTGACGTTGAAAAGATAATGTTGGTACATTACCAAAAAAGCCGCAGTCAACACCACAACAACATCTATAACAACACCCATAATACCTGCAACCATGTATAAAATGCTTTAGGGGCTATTATTCAATTACCTAAACCTTCCCGGCTTTTTTTTATACTCGTACAGCCTCGTTGCGTGTTGCGCGTTGCGACCGGTGTTGCGACCGGTATTGCAGCTAATATTGGCCACTTTCATCAACACTACAACAACACCCGCAACACCCGCAACACCCGCAACCACGTATAAAATGCTTTAAAGGCTACTATTTAATTGCCCAAACCTTCCCGGCTTTTTTTTATACCCGTACGATCTTGTTGCGTGTTGCGGCTACCGCGTTGCAACGCGTGTTGCAACCGGTGTTGCGACCGGTGTTGCGGCCACTTTCAACACCCCCGAGAAGCTTAAAAGGCATAAATTTAATCAATAGACTTAATAAAAAGGTTAGTAATTATTATATAATCAATTATTATTTACATTAAACGCGTTAATAATTAATGCTATTTTAATGAGTGTTTATTTAGGGGTAAAAACGATTAAATTAACTTAGACCAGTGTTAGAAAAATTGTGAGGAAAGGTAAGTTAGGGTTGTGATTGGTCAAAAAGTGATGTGGCTAAAAGGGTACAACGAAACGAACTTTTTTTCCAACACTGGTCTGAGCTACTGAGATAAACGCAATGCTAAATCGATGATTAAGTGATTAATTTATTAGAGAGTATTCCTAATAGTAACTTGGCTACACAGTTGTATTTCTCATTGTATACCATATCTACATCAGATAACACAGCGAGCATGAGGTAGTCAACCTCCAAATACCCCAACAAGGATTACCATCCTATTTTCACATGAATGTACATAAACCATATAACCTTCCATGCAAAGATATCTTCTAAAAGGTCAGATGACACGAACACGATGTGCTGCGTTGGCCATCTCCCGCACCAGCCTCGTGTCCGTATATGTAAAGGTTAGTAAATGATACACTGCAGTCGTGCGGCGAAAAAAGGCGACTAAATATGAGCCTCTTTTCGTGTGTTACACCCACACATGATTGACTTAAAATATAAAGCTTAGCTTAAAGAGATTTGGTTACGGCTATTAAGTTCCGATAATTTATTAACTTGGTATATAAAATCGAATATATAATTTATTAAGTCCGATTTTAAACATTTTTTAAAGTATTAAATAAACGGTTATTAAAATAAAAGTTTTTAATTAAAAACATTAAAAATAAACATAATTTAACTTTTATTTAAATATTAATAAAATAAAATAAATTATTATATAATTATATATAAAATAAAAACATAACCGTGTTAAATGTAATTTTATTAACGTTAAAATATAAGGTTTAAATACCGTATTTTTATAATAAATAAAAATTAAACCGTAAATTTACCGTTTAAAGTTTTAATATTATTTAAATGTTTAAATGTTTTAATATTTTAATTAATATTTATTTAAATGGTATATATTTAATTAAATATTTAAATAATTTATATGTTTATAAATGGTTTTTTTTAACAAATGGTTTTTTTATAATTTAAAAAAATGTAATATTAATAAATAATTAAATAAAAAAATCGCGATTATTATTTTATATATTTAAATAATTATAAATTATACGCGTTTATATATAATAATGTATTTAAATAATAATTTTATAACCGTAACCGTAACCGTAACTATAATATGTTTAAAAGTAAAATAATATTTATTTTAATAATAATTTAATTAATTATTTATTATACGTTTTAATTTAAAGTAAATACGCGGTAATATATATATATATTTTATTTATTACACTTTTTTAAACCGTATTAAAATTAAAAAAAAACCGTTAATTAAAAAAAAAACCGTTAATTAAAAAAAACCATTTATAATAAAAAAACCGTTAATTTAAAAAAACGTTTAACTTTAAAAATACCGTTATAAAACAATACCGTTAATAAATTTAATTACCGTTTTTTTTTTATATTAAAAAATGTAATTATTTAAACAATTAAACCGTGGATATACGGTATTAATACGGTTTTAAAGTTTAATATATTAACGTTAATGTTATATATAATATATAAATTAACTTTACTAGCTTGGTGGCATACTATTATTGGTAGTTTATACTCATAATATACAAATATACGTGGGATAAAAGGCAGGTGCCGTTATCGTTATCACCCCGTTGCAGTAAGTGCAGGTACGTATAAGCCCCCGGCAAGGCGGGGGGGGGGAATACGCGGGATTGGTCAAGGTGGTACCCATTTGCTCAAAAGTTTCCGACTCGTTCAAACCACTTTTTCCTTGCTTCATCTTCTCTTTCTAGAAAAGTGCCCAATTTCATGCAGGGGCTTGAAGAAAGCAAGGGATGCCCGCGTGGCCCGTCAACAAGTTCAACCTTGACCATTTTGTATTAGAACCGTTTTTTTATTAATCTGTCATCATTCTGTGCTCCGGATTTCATACTGGCATCATCTATTTTGGCCTTGAATAGCTTTCAACCCGTTTCAGCCTTTGCTTAAGGGTCAAATACGCCCTTTTTTTGAAACTGCCCTACCTTAACTGTTCTACCCTGTAGTTTTAAACCCCATGCCTTAAATCTTTGCTCAAGTTTCTCCATGCCCTTGCGCGACTCGCCTACTGACTACCGAGAGACTAGGCTAGGTGGATAGGCTGGGCAATTGACCGTGTGACGTATTTTCAGCAGACCACGATTTAGAGCCCCCTAGCTTCGGACGCGGAACGTAGGCCATGTTATTCGAGAACCATGCCCTCCGCTAACGAAACTATGGCCGATAACCCACGATCGCCCTCAAGCAACAAGTCGAGGACCATCCGATCCCAAAAGATCGCTCCGTCCTCCGCCGACGGCGACAGTGGAAACGAGGCCCAAGACCGAGCTGCTGCCCCTACCCGAAGCCACACACCAGGTCACCTCTCATCCAAGAGCCAGGGAACTTCCTCGAGTAAACGCAAGGCATCCGAGCCCTCGATACGTTCACGTTCGCAGTCCGTCTCTAATAAATCCGCGTTTGCCGTGCCACCGCCCCAGTCTGCTCCGACGCCTATCCCTACTCTCACCCTTCGGCGCCATGGTGACTATACTACTCCCATACCGTCTGATCCGCCGGTCGGATCATCTAGCCTAGACGATGGGCGGCGGCCGGTAGCTATGCGCTCGACATCGGCCATCGCCGGCCGGGCCACGACTGCGAGCACGGGGTCGGGAGCCTCTGGTGGATCTCGCAAGGCGTCCGCCGCTCCACGGCCGCGTGGTCCCCATGTCCCCTTTCCACCTCTCCAAGATCCCAAGACAGCACCCGATGTGCCCGCTGCACCTTCATCAGGCATGTATTGGTCGCGAGCACCGGTATCCGGAGCCCCCCACACTCCACTCCGTGCACACACGACGACTCTAATCGGGAGCAACGTATACGTCTTTGGGGGTTGCGACTCGCGTGCCTGTTTCAACGAGCTATATGTCTTAGATGCGGACTCGTTCCACTGGAGTAGCCCACATGTGTCGGGCGATATACCTGTTCCACTGCGTGCCATGACGTGCACAGCCGTTGGTAAGAAATTGGTGGTGTTTGGTGGTGGAGACGGCCCGGCTTATTATAACGACGTGTACGTGCTGGATACGGTTAACTTTCGGTGGCATCTGCCGCGGATAGTAGGGGACCGGACGCCGAGTGCGCGGCGAGCGCATACGGCCTGCCTGTATAAAAACGGCATCTATATGTTTGGCGGTGGAGACGGAATACGTGCTCTGAACGATATATGGCGGCTCGATGTCACAGATGTGCATAAGATGAGCTGGAAGCTAGTATCAAGCCCCTCGCCAACCAGCTCGAATGGAGCGGCAGTCAAAGATACTAGCCGACCTAAAGCGCGGGGCTACCACACAGCGAATATGGTAGGAAGCAAGTTGATCATCTTTGGAGGATCTGACGGCGGCGAGTGCTTTAATGACGTATGGGTATACGACGTGGACACGCATGCCTGGAAGGCGGTGCACATCCCCGTGACGTTTAGGCGGTTGTCACACACTTCGACGATCGTAGGCTCATATCTATTCATCGTCGGGGGCCACGACGGCAATGAGTACTCCAACGATGTGCTGCTTCTCAACTTGGTTACCATGACTTGGGACAAGCGGAGAGTATACGGCCTCCCCCCCAGCGGCCGCGGATACCATGGCACTGTGTTACATGATAGCCGGCTCATCGTAATCGGTGGCTTCGACGGCGGTGAGGTTTTCAGCGACGTCTGGATCCTCGAGTTAGCTGTACACGCGTATTACTCGCAGATAAGCCATTTTACTATCGAAGTCTAGGCCAAACTCGAGTTTACCGCTGCGAGTTTGGAGAATCTTGGTTCGGGCTGCTAGCATCCAAGGGGCCGCTGAAGGTCAGATTTATGCGGCCATGTTGGTTTATTTATCAGCCTAGTCTAGCGTGGACTTTGGACTATATTACATATCATTCTGATAGCGTTGTTCTTTGTCTAAGACGGCCCAATTTGGGCCTTTATTTCATCAAGTGCCATCCATGTCTACGCAAGGACACCCCATCCTGGGGGCTCTTTTGGCCACCTGTAGGCCGTTGTGGATAGATGGGGGCTACATATCTACGCAAATGTAGCTATTAGACATCATTTTGAATTGGGATCGGGATGATATTATTGCTTTGAGCGTGCCGTTGCTGATCTTGGGTCTTTTGGGGCGCCGGGACACGTAAAATGGGTAAAGAAAGGTGGATTGATATCTTGTACAGTCGGATCAGGTCACAGGATGGCATACAAATCCAGTACCTACAAGTAATATGGTCCATGTTATATAATATTAAAGCATGGATGTATCATCGTCTATCAATCATATCGCCTCCGTCCCCCCTAAATATGCTAAAAAATAATATCCATGGCCTTTTTTCATTCCTTTCCTCCACCCCCTCCCTTAATCTCTACCTTCGACGGCAGCGCAATGTAGAAAAAGCGACGTAGTCTTCCACGCTTGCTTGCTTGCTTGCTTTTTGTATTGGTACATGAAGAGAGCAAGAGACGAGTGAAATGATGAGAATCACCTAACCCAACCCAACCGCACACGGCCGAAACTCCGGGACAATGATTGATGCAAAGGAAAATATGCAGGTGAATCCGGGACGCAATGGAAATGCCTAGCCGCTCTACTCGCTCGGCAGGCGGCGCCTCATCTAGCCTAGCCTAGCAGCCCGCTCCCATCATGTCTTCCAATTATCCCATTCCCTAGCGGCGTTCAGCCGCTAGGTACCTACCCACCAGCTGCTTTATTGCGAGTTTTTCTTCTGCGTCTTCTGGGCGGCGAGCCGGCGCTCCTCAGCGGCAACCATATCCTTCCACAGATCCTGGCCCTCGTACTCCTCCTTGCGGACGCGCTTCTCGATCAGGGTCTTGTGCTCGGGGTCGTTGGGGTCGAGCACCTTGACAGTCTCCCACCGGCCGGTTCCGGATCGGGCATCGGCCGTCTCGAAGGCGGCGGTGGCGACGAGCACGGCTAGCGTTAGGCCTTGGGCGTACACACGGGCCTGGACGAGCTTCTGCGAGGTGGAGAGGTACTTGTTGCGGCCGACGATACCCAGCGCGACGCCCATGGCGGCGATCCAGGAGGCGAAGACGATAGAATACCTGTTTTCGCGGCCCCAGGTGGTGAAGCGCTCCCATGTAGTCTCTTGCTGGCGGATGAGCTCCTGTGTGCGCTGGGCCTCGTCGACGTAGAAGTTCATGGGGTTGTTGGCCCTGTGGAAGGCATTCGAATACCGCTCGGCGTTGACGATTGCGCCAAAGGTACCTGTGGATGTGACGAGGAAGGCGCGGAAGGGGAGCGTGAGCGATCGGAAGGCTGGGTACCGTCGCGATGCGACCATGACGCCAACTAAGCCGGCACCGAGACCTATGGTGCCACCGATGATACCACCCGTTAGAACTTCGCGATAGTGCGCTTGTTCTTCCTCTTTCGAAATAATCTTCATGGCTGCGGCTTTATGATTATATGTAGTGCGGGGTTTTATCGATTCTTTCGACTACTCCGATACTTCTTTATATCGTAGGGAGTCCGATGTCTTGTCTTGTCTTGTCTCTAGTATTACAAGATCTGTATAACTCTAGGTCGAAGTGTGGATATCTTAGGATAATATCTAATAGGTATGATTGCTTTGAATGTATATTATCGTGATAGCTTGGTGTCTCCAGGTCGGTACGCGGGGTATTATATTTGAGGAACCGGTAAGATGGAAATTGAACGGTGACAGAGTTCAATTGAGCAGTTTGCGATTGGCTCCTCTTCGGGATTCAGGCGGATTCAAGCGGTGACTGACTCTTAGTAACATAACACAACGTCAACTTGACGAAGCTGTTCGCAAAGGAGAAAGCCGGGAAAAAATTACATGATGTAATCCACTGATGGCACGTTCCGGCGCAACTCTGGCGCACTCTGGTACGATGGAATGTGGGTCGGCCAAATAGAGCAGAGCCCGAGTTATTCCCGTATTGTGGCTAATACTTTGTGGCTTACGCAGCAGTCGTATAAGCCTTACAGGCTAAAGTGTGCTAAAAAGGCCTAGAGGAGCACTGAAGCCACACTTAAACTTCATAAAGGTACCTATTACGAAATTAGTGCCCGCTGTTCGCCGTTTGCTCGCCGTTAAATACAAGGGCTTTCGGGGTTTGGCAATTAGTTTTCGCATTTAGTGGCCAACTCGGCGTCTTCCGCCAAACTCAGCTGTCGTACTTCCGTTGTACTTCCGTCGTACTTCCGTCGTACTTCCGTCGTTATAGAATGCGACAGCCGCCGTCTTCAACCTACTTAGCGACAAACCTCCGTAAGGCTGCGGCTGTTGTCGCGGTATTTCAGGTGAACTTTATCGGCGGTGCGGCGCGTCTTTCAGATTTTCAACTCCGAATAGCAGTATAGTTCAATAATTGCCTCCGCGGACTTAGCTGAATAGGTCGAATAGATGGAGCTCGGGCGAAGCACATGATATTTACAGCATTTGACCCAACCATCTGATTTTGTAACGACCTAGGATATCCTCAATGTTCTATTCTTAACTATAGTTAATCCGGATAGAGGCTTTGAAATACTCAGTTAAATTTACCTGGCAGCCTAGGAAGAACACAAGGAACGGCGTATCCAAACATTCGTGGAATCCGGTCCGTGAAGGAGTAGAAGCCCGGGGGTCTCGGTCAAATCATCGGAGCTTACGCTCCAGTATAACCATTCGCTTCCTGATGGTACAAGTCTATCACGTGCCGTAAATGATCGTCTTGGCGTCTCTTGTCAGCTCCGTGTCCAATGCATCCGAACTGTCTTAGCTCAGCCAGGGCTAAGCGGGACAAGCGCAGGGAGATACCGTTTTATGCGTTGCAACTCACCTGCTGCTGCGGGTGGGTCTGGTAAGGCTCGGTTAAAGCTGACACGCAGTCAGACGACGGAGCTAGAGCCAACAAATTCTGGAAATATTCTACCTATGTAAAGGAGAGGTTAAGTCTCTCTGTCAATATGTACCTAGATATCTAGACAGCATTCAAAATATATTGCTCGGTATGAAACCAGGAAATACACACCTTAGTCATTTTAGTTATAAGGATTTGAAACATTTACTTACCTTGATAACTCATATGCACCTACCCCGACCATGCGGGCAAGCGTAATAATGACTTTAGTCCGCAATAATATAGGATCTAAGACCAAAGTGCCACTAGAAACAGAGTATCGTCGGTCCTTCTTCCGGAAAAGACTGGCAATAAGACGTCCGTGTTAAGTAGGCAACTTGGTAAGGAAGGCTTGATCCGATAGATCACTAGGAGATCCAGATGGCCGCACGAAACGGGGTTGCTCCAGGATGATCGATCACAATTTCCCCCCCAGGCGAGCCGGCGCCGTGGCGCGCATGGCAAGTTATGAGAGCCAATCCCACGCGAATCCGCTGAAGCGAGCAGAGTGGCTCTCGCTACTGTGTTACCGCGGCTCGGAGATGAAGTCTGACATTTTGAGACGACAATGCCAAAAGATGGCTAGAAATGCTAAGCCGGCACTTCAGCGGCATCTTGTGTAATAGGTTGCCATTAGCCACGAGACCGTCTCTCTGAGTGACAGCTTTAAAAAAATGGTTTCAGAACAGACTGACGCCGTCTCATCTCTATTCCATCTCTATATAGTTAGCGGTCCATCTAGAACGAATGTTGGGTTGCTAGGTTAGCTAGTTGACTGTAAGGTGGGAATCGTGAGGATCGAGATTGTGTGCGGACTGCAGAGTGGAAGATGCTTCTGTGAGCTGTGAGGCTTATTCCGGGGCTGGCGCCTCTGGGCCAGTGAAATTCGAAGTGGGAATTGGGAATTAGGTCTCGTTAGCGTTGTTAATATGATTAGCGTATTCTCCCCCTTGTCTCCCCTTGCAGGGACCCGGGGACGAGATATAAAAGTGGAAACATGCTTGGAAGCACGCTGCACCTTACTTGCGTCCTGTGCGTGCCAAAGTGCTCTTTGCGGAAATCTTAATTCAGGGTCCAAATGCGCTAGTGCACATCATAGAAGAAGAAAAAAAGCAAGCGCCGTTAACACGGAAAATGTACATCCATCATGTACATCTAGATTTAGGGTACGTACCGCAACGAGTTGTGCCTCTCGGCCCTCGCCTTGTGCCTCGCACATCCGCACCCGGGGGAGAGGATCAGCGAATAAGAATATATAACGGAACGGTTGATTGGACACGGCAGTTCGATCCTTCCACATGCGACCGTCTAAAAAGCGGTGAATATTCCGCTCGAGCGTCATCTTTGTCATACGTACATACATACATAGAGCACACATACCCGTATTAGGTACCTCATAATGTAAGCACACAAACGGGTGACTCTGTCTAATATGTAAGAATGCCACTTTGAAGCTGAGGTCAGAATATTATTAGAGTATACAATTGTTGTAACACACTTAACTATGTGTAGTAGTAGTGGTAGTATATGACTCGGTGTAGGTCGTCACATTTTCAGCTATAAACTTGAATGGAGGATATTCCCAGACAAGCTACCCCCGGCGGAGTTGACATCAATATCACGCGGATATATTGAGGGGGTTTGGGATGAGTTTCCAGTCAAATGGAAAGGAAGACAAGTAGGGTCGAGATCACCAATTAGTATCTAGACCTACCTGTTTAAGCCTTCAATTCCGTCATAAATGCGGAACTGCGCCCATTTGTCGCGGGGTTGGCTGCTAGCTGGATAATTACAGATTCCCAGAAACCTTGGAAACCATCATTCTGGATCGGAGATCATCATTTTCGAGATCGATGGGATAGATTTGCGGCGTTCTAATACTCATGGACCTATAATACGTTATCTCCAAGCCTCTCTTTTACCGTAAACAGGTAGTTAGGCACTGCTGGATAGCTATGTTACTGCTATATAAGGTGGAGGTGAAGTCGCAACGTAATGTCGCACGTAAGGCTTACGACGAGGATAGAATATGGGGTTGAACAACATGGTATTTCTTGCATATCGAATATCCCCGGTCTACATATCGTCCTGCATATTACGGGCATATTATAGGTGACCAGGCGGCTTATATACATGGACCGAAATAAATCATACGCGGGTGCCATCCGGTTGCTGAGTTATACAATTATACTACGTTGTCGTAGACGTTTTAATATACAAGTAAGCCTAATGTTATCTATCACTCCTTGTCTTGACCTATCACTTATAACCAAGAGGGTGGGAGAGCTACGTAGGTGGATAGGCTAGTAGGCTGATACTACATATGTAGGTAGCTTTGAGTTGGTGATAGCCTATCTAGGTATGTATTGTGATGTATTATGGTGGTTGGTTTGCTCGATTCTCAGAAGACAAATAAAAATACCCGAAGGCCGAATATTCGGTAACTTCTTGTTCCTGCTTTCAGCTCGGCGTCGCAAGGCTTCGAGGACGAAAATTGCCGCATCAGCTGAACCTCAAAAAAAATATACGAAAAGTCCCAACAATAATTAACAAGCATAACTAGCCCAAGCCTTGCCTGCCCGTTTAGGTAATGAGGCACTCGAGGCCGATGTTTGTGGGTTTGCCAAGTCTCGAGACCAACCACAAACCCCTACCGTAGTAATTATTTGAATTCCATTAGGTATTTGATTTTTATTTGATAGAATGGTCTAATACTGTATTGGCTAGATTAAGGTTGTTTGCGCACTTGCTTGCGTCCGCTCGTGCGACTAGCCGAGACCAATGAGAAGAGCCGGCGAACCGAATATGGCTTCGAATTGGATTATAAATGGAAACGTCGAGTGGTCTAAGACGCGCACCAACGAGACGGCGGAGCGCAAGACCTCCTCGGCTTACGGGTTTATATTGAAGCTATCAGTAAGAGACTAAGCGCCGTATCTACTATTATCAACCATTATCAGGACTGGAGGGTTGCTAGTAAGAATTAGTGGTGGCGTCTGAGAGGCTCTGATTTGATTCATAAAGTGGCGTCAAGATAGTCAAGAGCTACATACAGCATGTGATTGTAATTCGACGGGATGCCAGGACGCCCAGGGTATGAGTCAGGGCAACATCTAGCGAATGGGACATTGCCGCACTAGGTAAATGGGAACTCTTCGTACGGAACAGGCCTATCCCGTATAACCAATTTTGACAGGAGAACCTTTTTTTTTGTTTTTTGTATTTTCTTGTAGTTGGTACTGTAACTGTATAAGTGTACCTATTCCGTACAGAATATGTAGCTAGAAACTTAAGTCCCGATTGCGTTGGCCTATCCCCAGCTTGTCCCAGTACGAATATATATGCATCTTCTCATGCAAGCAGTTAAATTAACGAGGGTGAAGTTGCTAATGGCCGCATTGTGCGGCAATTCGTGCGTGAGAATGAGCTTATACGGCCTCGTCCGCGGTCGAGTCATACACGCATGCTGCCCGTCATTCTAGGTACTAGCCCGTCCTGCCTGCTTACCGGTACCCCCAGTCTCCTACGCATTCATACGGCGCGCAAAGCATGATACTTGCTGTCACGTGTGTATCCCACATGTGTATCCCACATGTATATAAACACTAGATCTTCCCTTTTATAACTTAGTCAATACAACATCGAATGCAACACATATCGTGATACTCGCGGGTAAGTCGAGTTGGCTGAGATCCAAGGCTGGGTATAGCCTTGTTTAGATCAAACTTATTTTAACCGTCTAAGTTGTGTAAACGGGAAATATTGTGAAGGTAAACGGCAGCCAGGCCGAGATGGTAGCAACTATTATTATATTCTTGTACTATGACGCACGAGCATGACATCAAAATCCCTCCCGTCTATCTTCCATCACCAAACGTCGTGTATAAGTAGCATTTAGCAACATCATCATCATCATACCTAATCATTGATTCCCCAAAACTCGAATTCAACAGTAATGTAAGATCAAACTTATTATTAGGATTGAATAATAATAATAATAGTCTCAAAAAAGATGAAACTTATTGACATCTATTATGTAGTAGCAAACGGAGGCTTGAACCCCCTCCCCCCCCAAGTTAGGACCCTAGTAAGTCCCACACGCATCGGCTTTCCCTAAATCGGTGTCGAGTCGCTCAACATCCCTGGATCCTTAACTCCGTAACAGACTTAGACTAAACAGACCACTAAATAGACCTAGCCGTTGGGTGTAACATCGAGCCATGTGAGTTCCACACCATCTCTTCAAAAAAACGAGTTTGAATAATAAGAACAATACGATGCCCCGATGCCCGATACAGCTCTCTGCATTTATATTATCAATAAGTAGTAACTGGTGAACTTGTCATAGTCGTTTGTTTTTAGTTTCCCATTCGATCTTTGAGTAACGTGAACTTGATTAGAAACCGGACTAGAAACAACCCAAACCCTTCATCGAAGCTTCGATATCCCTGCTATCCTAGTGTGGAATCGCCGGGTGGATGAAATTGAGCCATGTACATAGTATGTACGTGCCTAGCCTCGTTAGCCTTTCCCCGGCGATGGGGACTAATCGTCACTGATCAACAAACCTGACGATACTACTCGCCATGGATTCGACAGCCCGTTCTCGGTGGAGAGGTGCTAGCATTTCCCAGCTAACCTACAGGAGTAGCAGGAGTTTCTATTACCCTCTACTACATACACAGTACACTACCTATGTATGTACGAGAATCGCGGTAGACTCAAACTGCCTACCGCTGGGGTGGATTTGTTTGCCCATCATACTGTCTATAGAATAGTCTGACTGGTCCTAACTTGGTTTGGGAGATTGCCGTTAGATTAGGTACCGTAGTTCGGTAGTGATCACAAACATATGCGTCTGTGTAACTAGCCTCGTCCTATCCCGTGAGCCTAAATTGTAATAGACCTGTTATATCCAAGTTTGATCCAAGTAGGTCGATATTGTCACCTCAGTTAGTCCGTGGAATTGCTGTCGTGGTATTAAAATACGACAACCCACGTTTCTAACTCTCGTATATACATACACTACGCATTGGACATATGTACGTGCAACGTGCCAATGTGCTCGCATGAACAACCGCATACCAACAATACCACTTACGCCACTTACTTCCTTTAGACATATTGTTCGGGTGTCTCGATTTCTCGATTCTACCCCCCCGGCCCGTGTTAACAGCCGCCTCCAAAAACCACTTATTAACACCACCTACATCACTTATCGACTTACCGCCAGATCTGATTTCGGGATCATCCCGCCATAACCATAATCCTCCTCCATCCATCTGGCTGTCGTGCAACCCGCTACGGTAGTAACTGCTGCACAACCTGACTAAGTAATCCAGGCGTCCACGGCGACCACGATTATCTCTTAGGGCTATTAAGTACCGCCGGCTCGTCCGTCAACTATTAACCCCTGAAACTAGCCGCAACGGACGAGGTTTCGCCAAAATCAAGAGTGGCTTGAAAGTATTAGAGTTATAGTTGGCTTTAGCTTGGCAGCACGTATCCGCGGAGTTCAGATCATTAGAGCACTACCTGCAAGAGGCGAAACGCTACGTCCTCCGTCCCAAGCTAGTGTGATTTGACTCCCGTGGTGGCCATTACCGGCTGCTCGGTCGAAGCTCGTGCTTCCGTGTGATTCTACGCCGTGGGGTTGTTTGCCGCCGTACGTTTTATTATTTTATTACTTTATACGCTGCTGGATCTCGCTGGATACACTGGGATATCCACCACTCTGGAGACAGCTGGAGACTCGACAGCTCGGACCAACGTGATATTTCGAGCTAAATCGATCGTACCGTGTTTGGTTACAGTTTGCATCTGCCCCCCTCCTCCGGGATCCATCCAGTCACCTAGGTAGCATCTAATCTGGACCTACCCAGTGCATCACAGCATTCAAAGCGACCCCGGCCCCGTCGTCGTTAAGCTTACATACATTACTACCTACCTCTGCACATACTCTCATACATATCATACATATATACACACACATGCGCGCATGAGTTACGCGCATAAGTTGTAAGTGGTACAGCAGAACTCGGATATTCCTACAATACGACTCTTCAAACATACCTCACACATACACAGACTGCGGTCATAATCCTGTAAGTTGCTCGACTTAACTTCGTACCTTATGTACGTACCTTAGTCAAGACCAGACGGAAAGGCACCTTGTATTTTTCCCCTTAGGATTCATCCATTCGCTCCCCGTCTTTAAGCATCTTCCAAGCATCTCTTTGCCTTTCTCACCAGTTCCCCAACTCGGGTTTATTCCCATATTCACCTTGGAGACCAACACTACCTATTACCACTACTCATAAAAAACATGCCACCACTAACACATTGAACTGACCTAATCTCGGGTTGGATTCATAATTCCGTCTTACCGTTCGTCATTATCTCTTATAATATTTGAGATTACTTTTCGCTATTTTTACTTGTTTTTATTTCTGCTTCTTGCAATTGGAATATTTTACTGACACTTTTACCTATTGTTACTTACAGTTAGAGGCAAAGCCAAAGCCGCAAGTCGAGTTACCTCCGTTTGTTACCTACCCTAGGTACTTACAACAAAGTACCAAAGATACTTTGGATAAGTACCTTTTTTTTTTTGCCCACCTGAGGGACATCCAACGAAGAGCCCAGCCCAAGGACCGAGGACCAGGAAGACCAGGAAGGACCATTCTCAAGGGTCGTGGGTCCACTATACTCAGCACCAATCAGCACCAATCACCATGAAGGGCGCCCTGGGTAGATGGCTAACAGGCACGACACGTACCCCATTCCCAGCGACTAATGACACCGAGCATCCGTTTAGCAGCCGCAGCAGCGCCGAAAATAATAATAATTCTGGCGCTGGCTCTGACCTCGCCGCTGCCGCTGCTCCTACACCAACTTCCTCACATTCCCTCACCTCGCCGTCACCTTCACCACAACCCGCAACTCCGGACGACCAATTTAATTTCCCCGGTCGCAATACCTATTTCGCTTCCGATTCCACCGGCGCATCTGCCTTTACATCTGTTGCCGCATCCGCATCTGCATCTGCATCTGCATCCCCCCTCTCCCTCTCCGCATCTAAACCAATAGACATCGCGAGTAATAACCCAAAGATTCGCAACTCCAACTCCGCCTCGCCGCCTTCAGGCCAGCCCAACCCGATCGAACCGGACTGGCTTCAAGTTAACGTCGACGGCGACCTCGACCTCGAAATGACCACAGGTCCTGCGCTCGACTCGGCCGTGAGCCGTAGTCGCCAGGACTCCTTCGTCAGCGCTGGACCCAAGCCCATTTCCATGATCAACCCGAATCGCGAACAGGCTAATCGCGGTAGACGGGAGAGCTTGGCCGGCAGTTTAATGAATGGTATGAGCTGGGGCGGGATCTCAGTCGGGAGCTTCATTAGAGATGAGTAAGTCGTACCGATTATTTTTAATTCTCCTTTACTCGTTATCAATTTCCTTGTCCTCATGTCCCCATATCCCCCCTCTGTCTGTTACTCATCGAGGTTATGCCTCTCGTTACGCAGCGCTTCCGTTTTACCCGACCTGCTGTTTTTTTAATAATTTTATGAGACGTTTCTGTTCCTGTTCCTGTTCCTGCATGTGAAAATCCTCCGGCGGCAAGTGGCTAATTATCATGTCTCGAAACGAATAGCCTCGTAATGACAGGCACGTCGCCGTTTACCGGTGCTCATCAATCGCCCTCATTCCACTCCAACTCATACATTCCTAAAATGGAGGCCGAGTATCTGCGCAACTTCATATGTTGCGACTTGAAATTGGACACGATGCACGATCTGCTTCGCCACTATGAGACGGTCCACACGGGCCAGAATGCCCAGCCGAACCGGAATGGGTCCGGTATCCCGATGCCCCATAGGCTTTCGGTTAGCAGCCGACAGTCTATGTCGATGGGAGCTGGACGACATGATTCGCAAGGCTTTCAACATCAGTCGCAGATGGGATCGAGTCAAAGGTTCGGAAATATAGGGAGCAGCAACCTCAGCCCCGGAATGGGTTTCGGTGGAATCCAGATGGGAAGACAGTCTTCGGCCATGGACTCCAACGTCCAGAAGCGAACACAGCAGCTGGACCGAATGCAATCCAACGACGAGATGGATGCTGTTGGCGACATGGAAATGGATGACACTGTCGGTATGATGGAGATGGACGATAACCAACGAACTATCCAACAGACCCGACAAATGTTCGGGCAGCAACAAAGGCCTCAACTACAATTGACCACCCCGGGGCTACAGCACCAGGCTCTCCGAACGTCGCAGCCGTCCACACCCGGTGCTAATAACTTTGGCTTCCAGAACAATCCTACAGTCTCGTCAGTCAACACGCCTACCTTGACAACGCAGCAAGCCGCATTAGGGCAACAAATGAGTGGAAACAAGGATGGGATGGGGGATATGGACTTCTCTTCGCTCAATAGCCTAAACCTCAACAACATAGGGGATTTTAATAGTTCTAGTCTCTCCGAATTTTTCATCGACGACCCGGCCAAGAGGCTCTACAGCCCGAACGGTGGACCGGCAAGCCAGAGAGCGTTGCAGCAGCAGATGGCTCAATTTGGACTCGACGCAAGTCAGTTTGGAAACATCACGGATCCCAACCATTTGGCAGCGCTGCAACGTGCGATCGCGAACCCTGGTTCCTTGGTAATACCGCCGGAGGAGGACAAACCCTTCAAGTGTCCAGTTATTGGATGCGAGAAAGCTTACAAGAATCAGAACGGCTTGAAGTAAGTTAAACTTTTGTTCCATTTTTCCGCCTGAGACTTTGTCTCCTCCCCCTCCCCATTCCCCATTCCCCATTTTGAATTTCCCGGCCCTTATCTTAACATGTCGCTAAATTGATTATGCAGGTACCACAAACAACATGGTCATCAAAATCAACAGCTCCATGAGAACGGAGACGGTTCTTTCTCCATCGTAAATCCTGAGACATCTGCGCCTTATCCGGGCGAGACGGGTATGGAGAAGGAGAAGCCACACAAGTGCGAATATTGTCACAAGCGCTACAAGAACTTGAACGGTCTTAAATACGTACGCCACCCCGGGTTTACTATGTTACTATTTTATCCGTACATTATATCTACAGAGACTAACAACCAAACAGCATAAGCAACATTCGTCTGCCTGCGAGATCCAAGCCCAAGCGGCTAACATCCGCGCCAACCTTGCAGCCAACAGCCAGATGTCCTTTAACATGGGCAACATCAGCCACGGACTTCCCGGAATTGGTGAAGAGATGCAGTTATAGAGTCATCTGTTCTCTCCGCTGCCTGCTAACAACCACGGCGATTACTACTAATTTCTCGAGTTGCGACCCGGCGTTGATGGCCTTCATTGAACCGGAGGTTTCTGGTCCCGCATTGATATTTCGGCATAGATATGTTCATATAGACTGGATACCCCCTCACATACCGTGGCAACTGTACATACGGCCATAATTTCTCTCGGTTCGGAAAAGTTTGTTCTTTACGTCATCTTGGCGGCGTTCTTTGCTTCTTGCATAAGGCGTCCAGTCTAAGATATACCCTCGATAGACTTCTATGCAGAACTCGTCGTCTTTTCTTTTTTTTCTCATTCCTACCCCCCCCCTCCTGTTTACAAAGAGCTGAGCGCGTCTGTTCGGTCACCGTTACATATCCTCATAACATCATGATTTCAACATCCCGCTTCCCCGTCTTTTCTAATCACGACAATTTACCTTCTACGACTGGATCGAACATGGAAGAATTACGAAGCCGATGGGGAGATTACGAATTAAGGGAATAAATTAGAGAGACGATTGACGTGCTCTGAGAGATGAGATACGGCCGGTGAAACGGCAGCCTAATAGCGAGGTTACTATACTCCAGCGACCTAGACTCGCTGCTGCTGTTCTTGTTTTGTTTTATTTTGTTACTTTTTTTTACTCGCAACAAAAAGGGGATACGCTCGCTTACAGAGAATGTTGTGCCTCACGGCCGATGGAAAAAGCTATCTTTTCCGTCCTCTACGTCTTTGTTTTCGGAACGGTCTGGGGGGTAGCCAGGCGTTCCAGCGGTAAACTTTTTTTTTCCAGCCTTCGATTTCGGTTCACACAAAAGAAAAGAAAAACTTAAAAGGAAGATCAGAGGGAAAATAAAAAGGCGGCGGAAAAAGTACCTATAATGTACGTCCCCTAGGACGTAGAAAAGGGAAGGGAATGGAACTTGTTTATAGATGAGGAGCAGCTGGGTATACCGGCTGCTACTTTCCTGTGTGTAACTAATGAATTCGCGATGTTTTTAATGATTCTGTTCTACAGCTGTGTGCTTCTCATACTATGTTTATGATATTAGATTTGGTTACTATGCTTAAGCTATGTTAGTTATACTAGTAGCTAAGCTCATGATAGAGGCCACTATAGATGTTTTCACTTTTCGGGTATCATTGTCTTTGTCTCCGCTCCAATAAACCGAATATTCTTGGCCGGTTTAGTAGGACTATATGTTTTACGTCCGATACACATACCTAACAAGCCCTCCGTCTTACTGAACTTCTTGTCAGTCGGCTAGGCCACGCGGATGATAATGTACGTCAGCTTACAGGATCTCAACTCGGACACGAGGTGAAGCAGAGTTATCAATGCGTATATACAAACCATTCTATTATAACACCTCTCTGAGAGAGAGACTCTTAATCTTAAACTCGTAAAGTAGCCCCTTGAGAATTAATTTCCTACAAGGTAGGCTTATGCCTGGGCTCACCATAAGAAACTCTACCTACGTAAGACCTCAAATGACTGATCTCTCGTGATATATCACCTCAGACGCTACTCAATCTTCAATCTTTGCTCAGCACTCTATCTACCAGAAGCAATAGATTCCCAGGCCCCCCGACCCTTATCCACTACACCCCGGACCCAATCAACCTCCCTATGTGCTTCTCCCACACAATACATACCTATCTACATACCTTACATCTCCAGATCTCAAGTCCGTAACACCAATATCCTTAATCTAAAAAGACCAACGACTCCAATATACACTACACTACTCAACTGGACCTATACCCATCCATCCATCCATCCAGTCCACGCACGTCAACTTAAGCAGACCCAAGCTAGCCCAGGCCCACCTCACCCAAACCCAACCAAGGGCGCGCAACACCAAACCCACAACCTCTAGCCCAGCCAGCCAGCCCGCCAGCCCGCCAGCCCACTCACTCCTTCTTCCCCAACAAGTTAGCATCGCCGAGCCTCCTCCTCCTCCTCCATCTCCCTCCCCTCTTACTATGTATGTATGTATGTACCATCCGGGGCCTCCTCTACACTAAACCTAGGTAGCCCATCCAAATAAATATTGATCCAAGCTAAGTCTACCCGAGCCGCCTCCTAGCGCAGTTCCAGAAATACATAGTTACATATACCTACATGTAATTAACTAACTAACCAACTAACTACCTAACTAACTACCTACACTATAGCCCGCCATCTTAGTCCAAGCCAAGTATTAACTCGCGCAGTAACCCACCGCGCTCCGGCCCAGCTGACTTAAATACGACACTAACATGCTTCTCAGGGTTCTAGCCTCGATGCCGACACCGACGGAGGCTAATGCAGGGTCTCGAGTCGCTTTAGTCCGTGTAACGTAGGCTACACCGGGCTCCGTAATAACGATCATACCCTCGCCTAGCCTAGCCGTCTCCTCTCTCCTTCTCTAGCGCCTTCGTCCTTGTGATTATCACATGCACACCATCACAAGCCACATCTACATACGCATACATACGTAAGACAAATATGAAAATTGCAAAGTGGACCTTGAGTATAAGTAGTATTAAACCTATGTAGAGTAAGCCACATGTAGGCGCATACGCACAAATAAGTCCCTTTCTTTAACAACTCAGCTTAACATATCCTAGCTCGATGCATCTTCCCTTGATTCCGTTCTGTGATGACCTGTTGACTGACTACCTTACTTGACCTAACCTACCCCCGTCCCCCGTCCCCCGAACGCCAAACCATGCTGATTAAAAGTCCAAGTCCGACAACCTCTCCACGGTTGATGTTTGATTGTATCGACCCCGTGTTTAGAAAAGAACAGACGTGCAAAACCCAGAATTCATATCCATTGCTTCGTACCGGATACACGCCAGGTGCACATCGGATATCCATAAAATGCAATACCCCTTTCCCTTGCGAGATAAGCTGAAAATGCGGATTAAAAAAGCAGTATTCAAGGTCCGGAATCGCATAGTCAAGTCCGTCCAAAATGAATCCTTCGCCGTAGTATCCTAAAGAGTCAGGCCATATCCATGCCTTCCGAGTCTTCCACGTCCGAAGGCAGAGCCTGCGTGTGGTCGCTACTGATGCTGTCTTTCCGCGAGACGCCCGAGGTATCGAACCGGCCGCGGCAGTTATCCACGTACTCGAGTTCTTCGCCCGCGATGACTCGACCCTCCATATCGATTTCCTGCGATAGCTCGACGAGAGCTGATCGTGGTAGACGTAGGAACCCCTGAGTCCGCACTATGCGGCCCCAATGCGTCAAGCAGAATGACGCGGCCCGTTTGCGCAGCCACTCCTCGCTCGCGAGTCCAGCGCAATACCAAATGATACATGCGTGCTCTACATCGAGTTCTTTTGATAACCGATTCACGCAGAGGAGACGTAGATGAGGGATGTTGTAGATATTTGACATTACCAATAGGCCAGCAACATCTGAAAGATCAGTTGCGCCGTCGTCGGAGTGGATGCTATCCGTGTAGAGGTAGTATAGGAAAGCCTTAACGACTGTATAAGGCTCCGGGATATGCATCTTTTTAGTGTGGAATTCTGCCATTTGCGCGTTGTACAAACGGGCAAAATGAGGCCATCGAGCTTGGAGGATTAGCTTGTGTACATGAATAGGAGCAGAAGTAGGCGCGTCTGGTGTGAGCCAATTCTGATCCATTGGGGACTCTCCTGCACGAATGAGACTAGAACCCATCATATCGTCATCATCGTAGTCGTCACCAGCGAGAGCAGTAATGATAAAGTCAGTTCCACTTCCAGCCTCCGGCGGTTGGTTAAAGAGTTTCGCGAGATCATGTCCAAGCCCTTTCGATGGCTGGTCTTGAACTCTGGTATGCGCGGTTGGTCTAGCATACTCCGCTCGAGACTCGGAAACTGCATTATTTCCTAGAAACCCGTAGCGTCGTAGGTCAATTTCCATAATATCGCTTAGATACTCCTCAAAGCCACCGGGGCCAACATCGTTGATAGCGTCAGTTGGGCATCCAAGTAGCCAGGCCTTAGTACCATCTTCATTCATAGTGCAATAGTGCCATTGATAACCCGGCTTAAAAATCTCACGGCCATCAGCCAATTTCTGCCATCGTAGAGTATTTAAATCTAAAGCTGAAAGGGAACACTCCTTCGGGGTAATAGTCGCAACAGGGGTGACAAAGTCTAGAAGACTTCCGGAAGAATAAATATGGAAATGAATGCCAGAACCTTGTGATGGAACATTGCCTCCGGAAACGAATCTTAGGACAGAGATGGCCCCGGGAGCCATTGGAACTTGCTTTTTCAAGTGGAACGAGGGAGTGCTGACTTGAGCTGCCCGGATGTTGGCCGCAAAGCCTGAGGCTGAGAGGGGCGGAGCCGAGCCTAGCGAATAAGGAGTTCGCGGCGAATCGCTTGAGCGGCTAGCTATAGTGTGCCTGTCGACGGAACCTCCAATCTGAGGCGGAGACTCAAAATCCGGGCTACCCTTCAAGTCTAGCCAGCACAGGTCGCCTATCTTGTCCATGTCTCTACTTAATCCGCCGAATACCCAAATCCGATCATTCCTGCAAAGAGTTAGCATTTAGAGGAGATATAGGAAGTGTATAACATACCATACGTAGGCCGAGTGGTCAAATCTAGGAACGAAGCGCCATGACCTCGACCAAGTATAAGTCTTCAAATCGAGGTAGCAAATATCCTCCGAGACATAGCTCTCATGACCTGTGATGCCACCAATGATGAACAACTTGTCCTCATGTAGGACAGCCGCATGTCTGGCTCGGCCCTTTGGGACGGGACCAGAAACGTGAGGCTGGGTCCAGTGGGCGCTCTTCAGATCAAATATTATCAAATCGGAAAGATATGTCCTATGCTCATTCTCGCCACCGAAGACAAGAAGCTTGTCACCCTGATACAAAGTCGCAGTGTGTCCTACCGGTGCACGTGAGTCGAGGGTATACACCGTAAGACATGATGGTCCAACTTACCCATTCTTACACCAGGGATATCTCCATAGTTATCAACCAGGCTCCACTGATGGCTGACGAGGTCTAGCTTTAGTACGTGGTTGTAGACCTCATCCGTGTACTGGTCGAAACCGCCGAATGCATATATTTGATTGTTACCGCAATATGTAACCGAGGCGTTCACCAAGCAGGCGGGTCGTTGGCCGAGGGTTCGTGTGACCTTGGGCCGGTAATTATCCATTATAGCCCTACTCTTCATAGGCGAATTCGTCATGACAAATGTGTTGTTGGAGGATACGGCAGACATGGCGGAGGCGGATACGGGGGTCGGCGCATTCGAAGTCGCTGGTGTGACAGCCGGTAAAGGGAGAGCCGGATGATGGTGTGTTGAGCTGATGGGTCCACCAAAAAGGGAGTGAGCAATTGCGGATGGAGTTGAGGGATGGGCCATGATTTGGGCTACTATAAGGCTGCGAATAGAGAATGAGAAATCGATCGCAAGGCTACGTCGACATTTCTAGCCCATTTGTTCGCAAAGGGTTTGCGATGGGGAAAAGAACTTAACAACAAGACAAGCTGATTAGTTTCAAGGAAGATTATAATGTCAATGTGGATCTTAGACCTTGGAATATCGGGGATGAAGGGCTGGTCGTCCTGTTGTATCAACCAATATTTCGTCAAGTTGGGTGCAGAGGTATTTGCCAATGGCAAGGGTTGTTTTCTTTCGCTATCTCCGGTTGTACAAGGGTTTGCCAGCAAGATTTATGAAAGTGGGGGATGCTTATGTAAATACACATGCGGCGGTGTTTCACTTGCAGTCAAACGCCTCAAAGTGGATAGCATTGAATGACGCACAAGCCATCAAAGAAAATACATCAATACCTACACCCGAAATGGCTTGGGTAGGTGCGCAGATGTCCAAACTAAATTCGGCGTAGTGCAATGGGTCATGGCGGTTGCCCTGCGCAACCTAAAACCCCTCCGATCCACTTCTAGTAAACATTTAAAGTCACCAAGTGCACGACGAATTTAACATTTGATTCTTCCCTTCATTACAACCCTTCAACTCTACCCATCCGCTCATCCTCATATTCTCCTCTAGTCCACTGCCGTCTAAGGCCAAAATATTACCAAAGCCTCTCGCACAATACTTTCAAGTCCACTAGATCTCATCGCTGCTACTTTCCCTTGAGGACGTACAGTCATTTGATCGCCCCGCCGACTTTAAAGCTGTTCTACGCGAAGGCATTCTTCGATTATCGAACACAACGTCTAATACTAACCAATAACCAAATCCAGGAACCATTCACTTGAGTCTCTTGGAGCTCGTTCGATCTATCGGAGCTCTCACTTACTCATATAATACTCCCCCGAGACATTCGGTTGCTCTTCGTCGGAGTTAACAGTTTCTCGTCTCGATACACAATAATCGTCATACTCTAGACAATTAGACACTATGGCATCTGTTGCAGTATCGACTCCCTTAAAGTCCCACAAGGGACTTTTCTCCTCTCGTACCGCTGGCGGACGGATGCCCCTCACACCATCCCCCCGTCAACGTACCACAAATGCCAATGTCCCTATCAACGTGAACTCGTCCCCTTTCACGCCCGACAGGAAGTCTTCTAGTCGTGACACATCCCGCCTAGCTAGCAAGTCAGTGTATGGAGGAAACCTATCGGCACACCTTGCCAAGACAACCTCAAGATCGTCTCACCGTAATTCACCCAAGTCTAACCTTGCCCGCGGTGTTTCTACCCCCCGCAAGGCTCTTGAGCTTGGTGTATCCGACTTCACCCTTGTTGGTACAGGACAAACCAAGACATCTTCTAGCCCAAAGCCCAAGAAGACAGCGGCGCCTTCACGATCAAAGTCAAACAAGACCACCATTTCTTACACTGGGGATCGGTTCATTCCTAACCGAAGCAACAGCTCTGCCATTGCTAATGCTGGATCTGGAAAGCTTGATTCTCAAGAGAAGAAGAAGCAGCGATCAAGGGCCAACAGTGGTGAAGCCTCTGCTGTCCTATCTTCCGCTACCGATGATGCTATTGCCGCGCTTGAAAGCCTTAACATCGACGACGACGAAGCCACCAGCTACTCCCGCCCGTCGCCTAACACAGTAGCTTATCATGATTCCCTAGCAAATGCTTGTGGTGTTAACCTAAACACTCGCATTCTCCAATTCAAGCCTGCTCCCCCAGAGTCTTCCAAGCCTATCGATCTTCGTCAGCAGTACAACCGACCACTTAAGTCGGCTAATGCTAGTTCTGCTCAGTCCCGACGCCGCATTGCGACTGCCCCTGAACGAGTCCTAGATGCTCCAGGTTTGATTGACGACTACTACTTGAACTTGCTCGATTGGAGCTCCGGCAACCAAGTTGCTATCGGCCTGGAGCGTAATGTCTACGTCTGGTCAGCCGATGAAGGCTCAGTAAGCTGCTTGTTAGAGACCAGCCCTGATACATACGTCAGCAGCGTTAAGTGGTCTGGTGATGGCGCCTACGTTGGCGTTGGTCTTGGAACCGGTGAGGTCCAGATCTGGGACGTTGCTGAAGGCATGAAGGTGCGCAGCATGTTCGGCCATGACACTCGCGTTGGTGTGATGGGCTGGAACAAGCACCTTCTCTCTACTGGTGCCCGAAGTGGACTCGTGTACAACCACGATGTTCGTATTGCCGAACACAAGGTGGCTGAACTTGTGTCTCACACTTCTGAAGTCTGCGGTCTTGAATGGCGATCTGATGGTACCCAGCTTGCAACTGGAGGCAACGATAACCTTGTCTCTATCTGGGATGCTCGATCGTTGGCTGTCCCCAAGTTCACCAAGACGAACCACAAGGCGGCAGTCAAGGCTCTGGCCTGGTGCCCGTGGAACATGAACCTCCTCGCGACTGGTGGTGGCTCTTACGACCGCCACATCCACTTCTGGAACACTACTTCTGGTGCCAGAGTGAACAGTATCGACACTGGTTCCCAAGTCACCAGTCTCCGATGGAGCACTAGCTACCGTGAGATTGTCAGCTCGAGCGGATTCCCTGACAACTCTCTCAGCATCTGGAGCTACCCCACTCTCGTCCGTAATGTCGAGATCCCTGCTCACGAGAGCCGAGTTCTCCACAGCTGCCTCAGTCCCGATGGACAGATGCTTGCTACCGCAGGTAAGAGATAATCCATATACGTGCCAAATTTTGAATCTCAAGAATTTTAGCTAACAATGCCTTTCAATAGCTGCCGACGAGAGCTTGAAGTTCTGGAAGGTGTTCGAGAAGAAGGCTGGTCCTGCCGCGGGTGTTGGTGCCAGTGGCTCTTCCAGCAAGGCTCAGATGGCCAAGCAGATGACCATCCGATAAAGCACCATGTAGATCTCGTGAATGTCAGGAGCATCATCAATGCTCAACGAACAGTAGGTACAATTTCGCTCTGGCATCTCTGGGTACTGCATTTGGTGTCCATTTAGCATGGCGTTGGGGTATCCTCACGATATAGACCTAGAAGGTTTTTAATCAGGATACGACTTGGTCATGAGCTACGAAGCGATAATGCGTGCTACGGGAGACCGCAAGGATGGAGTTAACATGATTGTATTATAATTACGGAGTTTAGGGGGATTCAATTACGCATAATAAGGCAGGAATAAGGGTAGCTAGATAGTCGGCATATCAATATGATATGAGATTGACTAGTATTCGCTTATTTGCCGTAGCTGACGCGCGGCATAATGAAGTCATATTAATATTTCAATCGATGATGTCTTGTTCCGATGTCTTGTACATGTTTAGGTGCATGTTCCTTATTAAATGCTACAAATTCGATCCAATTAAGCAGCATGTAATTTGTTGGCAGTCGTCATTACCTCATTTTATTTCATTTGACGTGCGGCGTGCGGTGGTAGTGGTAAAAGGTACGTACCGGGTTTGGTTTAGCGGCGCTGGCGGCACAGTGACTTAGGTACTACCTATCTTATCTGGACTGCCCAAGGCGATTAAGTAAGCGCGTAAGCGGCACTTTAACAAACCAGGCACTTTCAAGCCAACCTTCACGAGAACATCACCAACCAGAGACACTCCATCGTCAGCCAAATCCGCTGCGCCAGTGTACGACGACAGAAAACTGCGTGCCAGTTGTTAAGTTAATACCAGAGAAACTAAAGACAGAATTTTGAGCCAGATTTGAGAGGGCGCACCGGGGAGGAAGCTTGGGCAAAACAAAAACCTTGGTTTCGTCTTCCGTACTTGCAACCGCTTTGACTCGCAAGCCGCGTCCAAAACTCCAGCTTCGCAACTCTGCGGTCTTGCAACCTTGCACAACATTGCATTCCTAGGTATTCATTGTGACCGTACCTACATTATTTAGGTATTCCACCTGTTCGTCAGACAGGATTTTACGTAAACCAACAACTACACAACCCTGTTGCCGAATACCGTACCCAACCTTTTTGATCGACCCGAATAGTCGGTCAACCCGCGGTCATTCGCCACCATGTCTAACTCGCAGGTCGGCCACGTTTACCAGCAGATCATCGACGATGTCCTCGAAGCTTCGCGAGTCGATTTCGAGGAAGGCGGCGTGGACGAGGGTGTTTTGGACGAACTGAAGAGGGTGAGTAATTGGCATTTTTTCTTGTTTTTCTTTTTCTTTTTCTTCTTCCCTCTACCGCTTCTCCCTTGAGTCGATCGGCGATCGGCGATCAACGATTATTAGTGCATTGTTATTATTTCTTTCATTTGGACGGGGATTTCCTTAAATATTGAATATTTGAGGAATTATTTTCCGAGATTTGATGAGTTGTCGACCAAGCCATGATGGGCACTATTATAGGCCACTTTACTGTGCTGGTTATAGGCGAGGCCGAGGTTGGTGAGAACTGGCGGATTTCGTGAGGGGCGGGCAGGCACTATTTGGGCTTTTTATGCCTCTGCGCCCGCTGCAAATCTCCCAGTGACTCACGTCATTTTTCATTGGCTGGGACCCAGTCCACTCACGTGCCTCTTACTGTGCGCGTTTATCCTATCAGCTCATTCGCTACTTTCGTTACTTTCGTTACTTTTGTACTTATTCCTCTCCTTTTTAAAATCACCCTGCAAGGAACAATTCTTTCGTTACCAGCTAAACTTGTCACCGAGTAACAAAGAAATATGGACTACTTGGCTAACATTATTTTATCAGGGATGGCAGAAGAAGCTCTCTCAACAGCAGCTGGCTACGTTCCCCTGGGATCCGAAGCCAGACGCCCCTGCTCCTCCGCCCCCGGCTCCTGTTGTTGCTGTTGCACCGGCCCCTGAGCCTATTCCCCAAGTTAACGGCTCTTCATTTATCCAGGAACATGTTCCTCAAATTCAGCAACCTCAAGGTCTCACCATGCCTATGGCTGGTGGTCAGCCTTCGCATGGTCCTGGGGTCAAACCCGAACCTAGCGTTAAGACAGAGCCTGGCCTTGACAATGGATCTATGATGACCCAGCAAAGTGGCCCCGCCGTTGTACAAGAGCGGGTATCTCAACAGCTCCAGTCCATGTATGGCGACCGCGCAGCAGCTTCCATCAACAAATTAAGAGAGCAGTCATTTCCTCAGAACCAACAGAGGCCCGGTAACCAACCTATCCCACCCAACTATCAGGGCCAATATCAGCAGGGTCACCCTCAACAGCAGTACCGACCTGGCATGCCCCCTAATCCACAGCAGCAGCAGCAGCAGCAGCGCATGACCATGCCGAATGGACAGAGACCTCCGCCCTCTCAGCTGGATGGCGCAGATGATGCCGAATCTCATGTCGGTGTTGTCATGCGTCGTACCTCTGCTGGTGAAAATGTGGAAATGGGACGAGTTCAGATTGACAACTTGCTCCATGCCCAGATCGCGGCCAAGGCTAAGGCTATGGAAGGTGGTGGTCTGATGCTACCCCTTAAACGTAAAGGCAAAGATCAAGCTCTCTCACAACATAGTATACCCCTGCCTGGAGGTATCTCCCAGTTTGACGGCACGGATGATGGCGTGAAAGACGAAGCATCCGATGACGCGGACGCTATCAATTCAGACCTCGACGATCCCGACGACAATATTGAAGATGATGACGAGGACGAGGATGGCGGCCAGATCATGCTCTGCATGTATGACAAGGTCCAGCGAGTCAAGAACAAGTGGTAAGTTTCCCTTATCTCGAGATATAAATCCCATTGTAGTCGCTCACAACAGAATAGGAAGTGTGTTCTCAAGGATGGCGTTTTGAGTGTGAACGGCAAGGATTACGTATTCCACAAAGCGACGGGCGAGTATGAATGGTGATTGCGAACCGGAACTTACGCCACCATGCTGGCACGATTTTGTACAAGACCTGCTTTCGTTTCTTTTTTTTGTTCTCGGCGCGTATTTGATTAAATCCAACCGCGTCAACATTCACCTTTCTGCATTTCGTCCTCTCACCCCTGACAAGAAGCATCTGGGCAATGATTACAAATAGAGGATAAAAAGTTGCCTTGCTCGATATTAATAAGGTAGAACTCCAGTGAGCTTCACTGAATGCAAGTTTGCGTAGGGAGGCATGATTCGTTAAGGGATATTCGCATTGCTTTTTTCTATTTTTACCATGGCATCATATCTGTTTGGTGATGCTGACGATGAAAGTCGATCCTCGTTTCGGGCATTTTGGCCGCCAGGATGAAAAGCGTGCAGGGGGGCGCGGAATAGACCTATCCTACTACTGCCGGTATGGATAGATAGTACTCCAGGACGGTTGTACTAATAGCAATAATTTTCGCAATGAAATTCTGTTTATGATATAAAGTATGTCTTCGGGTTGCTGAAGTATTGTGAATATGGTTCGGCTCGGCTCGGCTTTGGCCAGGACGGACTCCGGACGGCTGCATTAGTTGCTGGATTCTACCGCTTGAACGCTTTTAGAGATATACAATGTATAATAGGAGAGTATGAGTCAATAAGCTATGACCAAGGCCGTCCCGTCCATCGATCTGGTACTACGTCAGCAGCCTAACATTGTCTCCGTCAAGCATCGGGTTGGCACACAGCTTGGCCTGTGACTCAACGTCTAGTCGGTATACGGGAGCATGACTCAGAGTTGGGGGGTTGTAGGGAGGGAGGACGTGTATGCGTCGTAGATAGAACTACCCAATGGTTGAGGGAATACTTGCCTATTCCCATGTCCTGGGCTTGTTGATACTGGCGTGGCCCCATCTGTATGCGTATCAAGTGCTTACTATATATAATCCGTTTATGCATTATCTACATAGACGCCCCGTGGGTTAAAGTGTATATGGTGCTGGCGTGGGTTGATTTATATGAGGCTGCATGGTATACAGTGCTTGTAGGAATGGGTTGAGACTAATTCGAGCTTGGCGTGATGCTGTGCTGTCTACTGGAACACGGATGTAGGTAGTTGGGGAAGTTATATTCTTGAATACGGCCTTTCCTTGAGGAGGTTCTTACGGGTACATTGTTGCGTTACAAAGCGTTCTCCTTAGACGTGAATATACTGTATACATAAATATTGATGGCGACTGAATGGCAAAATGTACTTTATAATTTTACTAGCTACCCCCTTCGAAAGCACGAGTTACTATGTTTACAGGGGAATAATATTGATAGACTGGCGAGTAAACTATACTCGGGCGTATATTAAAGTCGGCTCGTATCATAGCTACGTTTCTCTCTTTATATCTTAGGTACCTAATAAAATTCTACTCTGCTTACTGCTATACCTCGAGGTAAACACCAATGTTTAGCACATCATATAATTAGGTAGATATCAAAGTTTGAATTTCTATATTACGCAGTCTGAGTTATGATACATTATATCGATTAAGAAGGATGTTTGACGTATAAGTTGCAATTCGAAATCAGAATACTTTACAATGGTAATGTATTTAGGTACAACTGCAAAACACTTGAACAACGCAATAGAAGTAAATACACATTTAAAAAAGACCAGTCAATCCCATCAGACCCGGCTCTATCTCGTTGACAGAATTGTTGCTGCTACAAAAACACTACCTATATTAATCACCAGCATACGCTCATTTAAACACTTTATAACATCGTTAAACCTCACGGGTTATTGCTCAAGACTAAAGGAGACTGGAGAAACCCCTCCTAAACTGAACAGAGAACTAGGCTTACAAGTGATCCTAGCGGAGGTAAAGGGCGCCGGAAACATCTCATCGTCAGCTGCCTTTACCATTTGACCGCATGATCTATATGAGTTTGTAGCTTGTTGGGATATGTATGTGTGCTATATTCTAAGTACGTACGTAGGTATAATTGAAAGAAAGAAAAAAAGAAAAGAAAAAAAGAAGGTCGAACTAGGGGGTCTGACTGGAATATGAGCAATTGGCGAAAGAATCGGCTTATGCTATTTTTACCACATGACCACCCTAGCCCGTGCGAATGTGTGTCGTATTGGAATATATATATACCTACCTAGGTATATAACCTTTGTTTTGCCGCCTCGCGTATTAATTAGATACGTACCTAGGTACCAAGTACACATGCGGACTTGGATTTAATAACGACTGGAAACTGGCAACTAACGAAGAATTTCGACGTAAAAGTAGTTAGTGGTGGTGATAATGATAATTTAGATGCTCATCACATAGAGAGGTACCTAATGTAGAAAATATAGGGAAGAAGTTACGGTGCAAGCACCATCAGAGTAGCAAGACTACACCAGCTCTAGCCGACTATTTTGTATTCATCGTGAGATTCGAAAACTATTATTCTCTTGCCCATCTCGCCAGCAGGGTCTTATTACAATAGCTGTTACCTAGTTGCTACGTTGTCACCGAGGCCGCCTAAAGGGTTACTGTGCCAGGCTGCCAGTGAAGAATTTCAAAAAATAAAAAAAATAAAGAAAGAAAAAAAGTTATTTGACCTGGATGGGATTCGAACCCATTCATTTCCTCCCCAATAGTGGTTGTGGATGTAAAAGGGGGGACGCGCGCAACATATCGAGTGAGGAATGTGCTTCAACTACACCACCAGGCCTTTTCGTTGTTGGGTATTGGACATCCTGCTTTTTACAAATATATGTTGTTGCCTGTGCGCGCACCACGCATCTCCCCGGTGACCCTATGCAAGTGGCAGCGTGTGTATGCCTAAATCTTCCCTAGAGCCTCTACCTACTTACCTAGGTACCTTAGGTATCTAGGCAACAGTAAAAGTAAAACGAAACCTCCAAGCATAAGAATACAATGTGCTTGTTTCTCGTGGGCATCTACGCCTAACAAAATGTACCCTCCAAAGGACATTCCACGAAGTTTGGGGCTACTCTCAGGCTGCTCTTTACTTATAAACAGTCACTGACCTTTCTTAAAACACACGAGGTGTAGGACTTCTAGGAAGAAAGGGGTTAACAGAGTACAAGAAAAAAGTACCTCATTTATATATCATGCCTCGCTGATTTCCTGAGAAATTAGCAAAGGACCGCTCTCTTACGACACTAACTTTGTTATTTACCAAGGAAAATTAACGTTGTCGGCAGGGTGTTCAATAAGCTCTATTGATATAAGGTATAGATGAGGAAACAGGGCATCAAGTCTCGGCATAATAGTGGCATGACTTAACATCGATTAATGGCTTATTAGCAAAAAAATCGCTAACTATTGCCTCTTACCTCGAAAGTGAAACTATGGATTAAATTACCGTTCCGAGCTATCGGTGTCAGTTAGTTGTTGCGAGTCCGTGCAGCTTCCGGCATTAAGAAAGTTACTTGATAGGGAGCTAGTCCCTCCGAGTAAAACCGCCGGCGGGTGTCGTTGGAAGGCCGGCCCCGGGATTATGGGAATTGGTAAGGAATGTTGGTTGCGTGGTATTCGAAACAAGATGGATGCCCCACTGCTGTACGACTAGCCTTTCCTATTAGTTGCCGCCTAATCCCCGCGACGGTACTATGTACGTCGATCGTCAATCTACACTATGAGATGCTTGCGCAGCCAGTCGCTCTAGCCTGACACGTGGGTCGTCAACCAGGTATTGACCGTCTGGGCTCGATGGTATGTTGGATGTCATATCTATATGTTTATACAGATATTTGAAGTAGCTCGTTGTCTGATGAAGAGCTAAGTCGTATGTGGAAGTTCAGCTCTTTACGTGTATGGATATGCATCCTTCGTTATGCTGGCCTCGGCCGGCCAACGTAGCTGGGCCACCGGGCGTGACCCGTATAAATGCCGTTGACCAACGCATAGGTGATATAGCGTTGGCGTATTCCGTATTGATGATGAATTGGGGGTCTCTTGTATTCGTATGGCAGCATTGGGTGGGACTGGTCGGCTTCTTTACGACCGCTATGATCTAGGTGCCGTTCGCCTTGACCTGCTGTGTTGGATTTAGCGAGTATTCCACGTGTACTATGTATTGGGGCATGTGGTAATTAAACTATGACGAGAATCATGCGTTGTTTCTTTTTGTCCCGGGAACCAAGAGAGACCAAAGCATCTCGCGTTTTGAAGCCGAGTATGTTGTTATGATTACACGACATTATTGGGTACCGTGGTGTTGGGTCGCTCCTGTATTCCAATTTTAGTTGGTACATCCGCTCGTGATGCCTCTGCTTTAATCTTCACATATGTGCAGGGGCTTCGAATACTGGTCTTCGACTTTGCTCACAAGCACTGTACAATACTTACCCACACCCTTATTCCTGATTTCATTATGCATAGACCGTTTAAGTTTTAGCGTAGACTGGGGTTGGGTTAATCAGCTTAGGCCGCCTATATAATCCTCAACAAAGTGGACTAGGACTTATGAAACTGTCTGGGTAGGCAAGGGTTCAGCTGGACAGAGTTAATGCCTTAGAGCTTGGCGAACGTCAATAAGACTTTCGCTCTCGATAACTTTTGTCCGTGTGCTAATATAGGTCGATTAGGTTAATAAGTGACGGTGTGGTGTTTATAATATGCGACTTATACTAGATATCGTTTAGTTTTATATAGTGCTCTCATGCGTCTCTTGTCTCTTGTTGGAGATGAGCGACAGGGTTAAAGCCACAATTGTGTTAATCTTCATGATTTACGTAATGGTGGAGTGTAGGTGAGTGAGTCTACCTATGTATGGCTTGTTGGTGATTCTGGATATGCCCAGGATATGCCCAGGTCTGAATAAGTGGCTTGTCGGCGAAACTCGTCTTCCGCGGACTGCCGCTAGTATTGAGAATATCCATCCGTCTGGAAGAAATGGGTAGCTCTAAACACGGGGTTGACGGGAGAAGTCCTCGAGCCTACCTTGTAACATGATCCTTGACGGAATCCATCTCGTAGATGTGGAGATTTAAACCCGCATTTCTTATACATATATGGCTCTAGTGTACGGATCCGTATGTATGGATGATGTATTGATGTGTTAGTGTTAGTGTTAGTACATACACTACTTATGCGAAAGGACAAGGGTTAAAGGAGCTGGCGTAATGTAAAATGCGGGACAAGCGGATGACGAGAAAAATGGAGATTGGTAAAATTGGGTTGACCCGACAGACTGGTAACGAACGCTTGGGCGGTGAGACGCGAAGCTACAGGCCTGTTAATCTATATCTAAAGACAGGCATTTCGGGATTAGTCCTCGGGCGTCCGGCCCTAACTAGGAAGCTCGATGTAACCTCGTCCGGTAGTGACAATTATGATTCGCAAGAATCTCGACTTTTTGCATACCAGGGTGCCAAATTCTTCGCCCTACTTTATCGTATGTCTGGTAAACCCGTAGCTCTCGGGGAAAAGAAGGTGAAAATCCCGGCTGACTGATAAAATCCTTCGTCTGTTAAATTTTTTTTCCTTTTTTTCTTTTTTTCCAATCACCTGATAATAACATTTCAATGCACATGGTCTCTTCCTACGCTCGTCTTAGGTTGGCGGTGTTCCCGAGATCTTTAGAATAGAGAGATGAGTTATGTTAATTCAAGAAGCGGTCAGTCTAACAGATTGACCTTTGTAGATCCTAGAATAAGGCCAACTAGGAGTTTATTGAAGTGTAGTTGGCCGTCGCATTATGTTAGGTAGTTATTTATGATAACCGATACTATTATTGTGTATTATATAAAAATATGGCTAGGTGATGGCTCGATGGAATGACTTCCAATTGTAATCGTTCGCGCTTGGTTACTTATTAGCCACGCGAAGCCACAGGCTTGAGATATAACATTTGTTACTGCGATGACTAAGGTAGGGCGCTTGCCGAGGTATATTGATGACTGTACATACGTTCTCGCGTAGACCGTGCGGCGTACCAGGATCGACAATTAATAAGCTTCTAACGTTCACCGGTGAGTCTATATGTTAGTATGTTAGTAATGCGACGGGTTATCGCAGCTCCAAGTCTATTTTCTGCGAGATCTATCCTGCTAGTCATCAATGCAGGAATGCAGGTACCAGTAAGATAACCGATATCAATTTTTTTTTGTAGTTATAATACGACAGACGACTTAGTCATTTGATATGCGGCCGGCCGTCGCAAGCTCAGCTCGGTCGCTCGGTGTCCAATGAAATGGCACCGAGACAGCTCTCAACGTAGACAAACGTCGTACATTCGTATTTGAAGGACCGGTGAATTAGGATGATCAAATATAACATGAAAAATATTTATCTATCTAGCCTAAGCTGACAGAGTTGTAACAATGGGCTTTGTGCATCGGCATCAAGAGCGGTCTGCTGTTCGCGGTGTAATCCGATTCTAAAATCAAGAAATATGCATTAGGGTAACATATGAATCGTAGATGCATCAGGGATCGGCATTGGTCTACCTAGCCCAGTAGCCATTTCAGCTGAGTTGTCGGGTCGGCTATGGCCTTATCGGGTCAGTTTGATCCCCGGGCATGGACACCGGGCCGAGAGCAGGGGTGGTGCCGAGTAGATGTGCATCTAAGCTGACTAGTTGCATTTGCCTTGAGGTGAAGATGACCTAATTTCTTCTACGAGGCGAAGAAGAGTGGATATGACCTGGAACAAAGCTTTGGTTAGTACGGGGCTGTGAGACCACTGACTTGTCGGAAGCGGTTGTATCATTTCTGGGTTTCTGGGTTTACAATGTCTTCACTAAAGATTTCTAGTCCCGAGACAACTTGCCAACGCAGCTTTGAGTAGTGGAGAATGCCAAGACTTTACTTAATTGCGTTCCGTAGTGTCGGGTTCGACTCCGTTGCTATGATTGGCTTCTGTTACAAGGGCTCATCCGCGAATACCTACCTAGGTAATCAAGCCCATGTGAAGTCGATTGGCCGAGAGTACTTATGACCTGGGTACGATAGTAGGTGGGTGATACGCGTCGTGAGCTAGTTAGTGAGCAGTATAATATAATCCTCTGGATAAGATTTGTAACAATTCCTAATAGCCCATTATCCATTATACTAGTACGCGAAATGTATTCAGGTAATATAGTAATACCTGTAATATTGGCCTGTTGATTTGCGGAACTCCTGCCTCCTGCCTCCAGAATAAAGAAATATAGTATCTATGCTAGAATATCGGTGAAGGTTGTATTTGTGTAGGTCGCGTTTCCTTGTAGTCGTTAGGAAAAGCCAGCTAAGGACTGTGACGTCGAATTTGGTTGTTACTCGGGCAGCTTTATCGCATAGTTGCCTGATTTTGGTGGTAATCAATATGAACAAGGGCCAACGTAGTTGGTAGCACCTACAGGGAATGCGAGCAGCTTTGTTAGCGATGTAATATAGTACGTAGGGGCTTGTATATACCGATACGACCATACAATGCTTTCCTAGGTATGCAAGAGGGACTGGATGGGATAGGCTAACGTAGTTGCGTCTGCAAGTGCATGGCACAACAAGTACCTGTTCGGTACCCCTTTAAACCCCCTAATCCTTATTAGGGGCATGTACTCCATATGTAGGCGGTGATCTTTACCGTCGCTACCGCCCCTATGGTTCAACGCCCCGCGATGTAAGGATATGTTTCCATTCCTGACGAGACCATCAACGTTCCCTTAAGTAACAGCGCAAGGTGAAGCTTGCTGACTTAAAACAACCCTGCCTAGTTGTCGCCATGGCATTTAATCTCAATTATAGGTGATACTCTCAGGGTTTCAAGTTGTTAGTTAACCTAAGTAGAAACTCCGTGACTTGAGTTACTGATACCTAGAGGCTATAAAATAAGTGTAAAGGTATCGCTAGTGAGCATATAGCTACATAGGGGTACTGAATAGTTCGAATGTTAGTAGTCTTACATGTGCTTTATTAGCGTTGCTGCGGGAGGAAATTGTGGTGTCCTGGGAGTAGAGGGTTGGTCGCGGCCAATGATCACAAACCTACCTGAGAGAAGCGCTGCATTACGTGCCTTCTGTCCAGTTATTGGGGAAGTACAAGGAATACCTTGCGGAAAGCGGATGCCAGGGTCGTTGGTTATCCTAAAGGGGACCGCAAGTGACCAGTCATTGGTGGGAGTGCTTGGAAGCGAGAAAGTACTGTGACTTAGATCCGTACGGAGCCGTAACTAAGACAGTCTCGTGGTCTGACTTCGAGGTGGCTTGTTGCAAGTCGCAATCGCAAAGTAATGCACGTTCACGGGAATCCACTTAAGGAGGTCTGAAGTCCTTGTTGGTGTCGCCTTTCCAGGTTGTACTTTGTGGCGACCTTGCAATGGCGCATTAAGGGGAGCCTTCTTGAGGGCACTTCGGCTTGGACGCACAGAATCTACCCCTTGACGTAGCGTAGCGGCTTACCATATCTCGAAGCCATCGTATTGTTTGGTTTTTTGGCCTATATGTTCTAGCAAGGCATCTTAATAGACGAATCCAAGCTGCCTAGCCGTGGAACCTGCTGTGTCTTCTCGAGACACAATTTTATGAGCGAAAACTAGAAGCTACCAGTCCAGTAGCAACTAGTAGCAACAGGCCTGCCGACGATACATGTTGCTACACATGTAATGGTTTTCACTTATTTTCTGTAGTACGCACACATGTCCTTGGGCTTCAGTAGTCTAAGAGCATGTATAATGGAAGCCATTGAGGAGATGACAAGTCGAGGAGGAGGCTATACTAGATGTGTTAGTTACTGCTGCATCTCACAGGCTCTACCATAAGATCGATCTTGTACTAGTACCTTACCTTTGAGCATTGTGTCACCAGCACACCATCTAGGAGACACGACCCTCTGCCTCGGGACGGGGGAGCGCTATATCGGTGGGGCTAGGCCTTAGCGGACTGGGTCCTCCCGAAGCCTTACAGGAGCCACTTGACCCGTAACCAAGTGGACGGATCGAAGAAACACGGCAACGGGGCGTGTCATTACGTAGATATGTATGTTGGTAGTACCGTTCCCGAGACCGCTTGCTACGAGCTGAGACGGTTCGAGTCGAGATGTTCTGCCAAGAAATCGTACCCGGCGCATCTTTGAATACCTTGTCCACCTCACACGAATGTTGCGTTGCTTACATATTACTTAAGTCGACATTGACGGTGGTGATGGCGGTGGTGAAATCCGGGTTACCTTCTCTATGTACACGTAGTGTAGTTGAAGAGTTGTCTCGTGGGACGGTCCGGGTACTTGGGAGTTCGTAGGCGTAGGCGAGAGAAAGAATAATTGGAGACAGGGGCTGCACCTGTACCTTAGGTATTGTATACAGTACAGCGCAAGTTTAGCGCTACTTCCTTGGCTGCTTCGAGACCCACCTATAACTTCTCCGAGATGCATGAGCCGTACCTAAGAAGTATCGCCACATACCTTAAGGTTAGCTATGTCGATTGTACTGTACCTACATGTTCATCATCCATCGCTAGCCGATGTGGAATAATAAATACATATGTATATCTAAACCAGTGAGCACCATGGCTTAGGTTGTCCATGGCTTGTCCATGCACACCCTACATGCATATTTAAATGCATAGGAGGTAGATGTTATAATTTCAAAAGTCGATGTTCCAACGTCCGTTTTAGTCTTCTCTTCCCCCTTTCCACTATGACCTATGACCTATGACCTATGGCCTATGACTTGTAGCTTTTTACACTTTTCACATATGTCCCCTTGTCGTTGGGAAATCTCTCCATCTCGACGTTAAAAGGTCTCGCTTGTCTACCACCTTTTTTTTTTTTTTATGTCCTTGCCCTCCTCTCTTATTCATTATTTCCTCCCCACCGTTGAGTCTTTGCATGCCCGAGGAATACGGATCTGCATTACAGTTGAGGTTCGGTTCGGTTCGGTACTTAGGCTATACTAGATGGTACCTAAGCTAGGGTTGGCACTAAAATAATTTTATGTTGTACCTCGTTCGATTGAAACTCGGGTCGAAATACTTATCCTACATAGTCCCCACTAACTACATAACTACATAACTAACCGCTAAACCGCTAACCAACCGCTAACTGCCATCGTCACATATCATCTTCCAATCCGCGATTTCTTCAGCACGCGTACCTTCCTTGTCCCTCGTTGTCTTGTCTTATCCTGTATTATTTTTCTCGATATCACTCTCTATATCTTCTCTTGATCTCCTCCGCTCCTTCTTTCCTCCCTAAGTTCGCGCCTTTTACCGAAATCTGCACCTGCAGCCAAGAGCCGCTACTTTGATCTATCCGCCTTTTCTTGAAGCTATCCGTAGGACTTAGCGCATCGCCGACTCGAGCTTGTCGCCCTAGTCGCAACCCTCTTTCATACCTGCGCCGCGCTTCCACAACAGGTTCCTTTCGCGTACGACCTTTTGCGCGTCTTTCTTCTGCCCTGACCGGGCTACACCGTGTCCGCCATGGCTCACAATGGCAACGGCTCTATTTACCCCCAGAATGGGTATGTTGGTCGAGCTCTAAGTGTCTACCCCCATGCTCTAAGCTGTGCTAATATGGCCCTTTATAACTATTTAGCGGACCCGTCTTACCCTCTTCCGCCTCGAACCGAAACGAAAACAGAAAGCCGGAGGAATGGTGGTATACGGAAAATGGACGCTCTTACGATACTTTTCGGAGGGGGAAGTATTTGTTCCCAATGGATGAGGTATGGAGCCCATAGAGCAGGCTTATTGCCGGAATTTCGACTAAAGTACTTTTTTTTTTTAGGACGAAATGGATAGGATGGATATATTCCATAAGTTCTTTCTAGTGGCGCGGCAGGATAGCTCTAACTACGGAGGTCTATGCCAGCGACCGCTACCCGCCTACCCTCGAATCTTAGATCTTGGATGCGGTACCGGTATCTGGGTGATTGATATGGCCGAGTGAGTCTCCTCCATGGTTGCAACAAAATACTAACTTTGCTCCTGGCTAACCTACCGGCCTGTTCATAGTCGCCATCAAGGACGAGCCAATATTCTCGGTTGGGACCTTTCTTTAATACAACCTCTTAGGTAATGCTACTTACTTACCTTTGTAATCGTTCTTTTCGCTGATTTGACGTAGGATTCCACCAGGTGTTGAGTTTCAGCGACGTGATATAGAGGATCCCTGGACCGGCATCGAAGAGAATTCCTTCGATCTCATTCATATGAAAATGCTTGCTGGGGGTATAGCAAATTGGACGGCTTTATACGACCGTGCATTCAGGTACGGGCCATGGTTGTGATCTGACCAGCGAACCTTTGTAGTTGCTAATCGCTGATTGTGACGGACAGATACCTCAAACCTGGTACTGGACTCTTCGAACATGTGGAGATTGATCTTACGCCTAAGTCCGCAGATGGCGAATTACCCGAAGACTCTCAGCTTCGAATATGGGCGCACGAGCTGACCGAGGCTATGGAGAGGGCTGGGCGACCTCTAAAAGCGAACCCCCACACTGTAGGGATGTTACAGCGTCTCGGCTACGTCGACGTCGAGCAAACAATCAAGCGGGTCCCGTTCAATTCTTGGCCTGAAGATGCACAAGAAAAGGAGATGGGTAGGTGGTTCAACCTCGGTATTACGAAAGGGCTGCACGCCATAACAATAGCTCCTTTAACTAGGATGAACGGTTACGACCCGGAACATGTTGAGAACCTAATTTCAAAAGTGCGGAAGGAAATGTGCTCCCGTAGATTGAGAACTTACTGCACCATGTAAGTTTCGATGTCGCTACCCGTTTTTGATGAAACTGATTCAGGGAGTAGGTATATCTGGACAGCACGAAGGCCATCTATACCCGGCCAACGAGCGTGATCGCTCCGGCTGCCTGCAACGCAACCATTGGATCGGTATCTATCTACACGCCACTGGAACCAAGCTTCTGCTCGGTGATCTCTGAGGCCATAAGCCTACCTTGGACGTCTACGGCGCTTGCATAAAAGACGTATTACTTCCTTCCTATGCAGGGATCTCCCGCCTTTTCTAGTCGAGTTAGGAGCTACTAGAAGGCAGGCTCTAGGATCTTGTCTAACTCTTTTCCGCCCCCATATCTCGAGCGTCAACCCCGGCGAGGTTGGACTGCCTCATTAGTCAGCTATCCTATGTCTACGAGCAAATACAAGAGTTGTGTTAAGTAAGCAGTGCCTTCAGCCATGCAAGCCGGTCTTATTCTATGACCGCTACGATAGTCGTTCCATAGGACTTGTGGGCCATCTTGTTTTCACCATAGCCCATTTGGCATATCCCTGCATAAGGAGCGAGGCCCGCATGCCTTTCTTAACGGGCTCACACACCTTTTTCTCCGGTATTGGCTAGATCCGGAGATAATGCGTCTGCACGTGCATACGCACATACGCAGGACCAGCGCAGGTTATATTGGATGTACACTACTTTGCTCACGGTGCATTTCCCCGTTCCCCGTTCTCGACTCGCGAATGACATGGACTTTATACACTTTGGCCTTGTTGACATCGCCAGTTAACGTTTTCTCATCTGGAACCGAAGCGGTCCCGGCCACGACGTCACGCGCTCCCGGGGAACCATTCCAATTTAGGTGTATTGGTTGGTTGTTTTATGTTTGGCGCAGGAGAAGTTGAACTTTGAGCCGGGGGAAAAAGTACCTTCATTGGCGGTGCGAGCTTGGCACCTAAGCAATAGGGGCGCATTGGGCAGTAGGAGTTACACTGCTTTCCTCCGTCTTAGACGAAACGGCGCTCCGGGTCATCTCTGCATTACTTTCTCTTGATTGTGTGCATTGTACAGTCGGCGGGTGTTATGTCGTGTCGTGTTGCCTGGCGAGGGTGGGCGGTTTTGGAAAAGTTTGACCCGCAGGGGCGGCCAAGTTAGGCCGGGGCCATATCAGAGGCCTATACACTATTTGATGTTGGTGTTATTGCCATTGTAGCAAACCCCGTTGCAGTAAATATTTTGATTCTCGTGTAAATGATAGCATTTATTTTTGAGAAATTCCGAGACTTACTGAGCTGGCCTCGATGTTCTCGTCTCTCGTGCGTCTTTTTTTGTATTATGTGACTTACTGCATAGGTAGGTAGCTACGTGAACCGGCGAGCACCGAGTTCTGGTCTGACCAACGATATAATCTTTTAAAAAGTGTTTTCATCGGCACAACTCCCGTATTACGTCCGTAGGCATTTCGATATACGTGTTGATCTGTAACAACCATGATCGACGTTGAGCATATCGAGATCTTTTAAGAATCATTATGTGGGTTCATGTTGGCGACCCATAAGTAACCCAATTTGTATATTCCACTGCATATACCCAAGTAAAGTCCTGCGTCGTTTTCCTTGGTTTTTTCCATTGGAACTTTCTGTTCGGCTTCGAATGCAACTCCACGCGCCTAACCTTCAACGTTACCTTCTCCAACCAGGGTTAGACTCATCGCTTCAAACCAGTCGCCCGGGTATAGATGAAGGTGCCACACTTTATTCACGGCTCTGCATCTCGAATGACGCACATCTGAGGCGCCCCGGCTATTCTTCAACCTCGCCTTTGGTACACGAAATCTTTAAGAGGATTAATCTGATCCGCGCTGACTTTATTTGTCTTTGCCTCTCCTGGGCGGCTCCCCCTGCTAGCTTCATAAAGGGGGGATGGGGTCCGTCCGTGGCGTCGTCGTTCTCAATCACACCTACCACCTTTCTTGGCTATCGGCTCGTTGCTAATGACGATGGCGCTCTTAGTCGGACGGGTAGAGGCGAGTACTACCCATCCGAGTACCTAGGTAGATATTACGCACGCCCCTCCCCTCCCCCCTAATAAGCGGACGAATAATTATAGGAGCGGCTTCCTCAGCACTACCAACCGGCCCGACATTGTCTAGTTCCTGATGCTATCCGATAGTAATTCTTACGGTGGAGTCTCGGGAGCTGTGTTGCCCCGTAACTGGCTGGCTTATTTACTAGCTACTACTACATACACTGTAGACCACGCTACGATACCCTTTTGCGGTATACAAGCTCGATTCGTGCATGGATAGGTATTGTATTATATGCAGTAGCGTATTAGATATTCCTTATTTTCTTGCTGCTGCCAGCGTTCCATCCTCTAAGGAGGTCAGCAGATCTGCTCTCTCATGCAGTTGGTTCCTTTCTATATCACCGTACATCACATACGAAAACATATAATTTGCTTTCTTGCCCCCAATCTTCCTCTTAACGACAAACATGTCATGCTAGCTGTTATGCAGTTGGTACCGGGTCGCATCTGATGATATCGCTTCTCGTCGCGGTGAGGCGGACGGAGTGAAGCGAGCGAACGGATGGGTAAAGGGAGGCCGTTCCGGCCACCGGCTCAATGCCCCTTTCTTCTACTCCTTTCCCCCTGAGCTCTTCGAATTCCTCTCGGCTTTTACGCAATGTGTACACCTCAAGCTAGCATCCATAAGACCAGCCAGCGAGCAACGCTTTGCGAGCTACAAGTAGTTGCTGTTCACTATCACTAATCCCCTACAATATCGGCACCGGGGCTGGCCCGCTCTCCCTTTTCTGTCATTTACAATGAATTCTCGGCAATCCTGCATTTCCGACCAACGGTATCAACAGGCCTCGGCACTTTCTTGATTTAATTCGACTAGTAACATGAGAGTAACAAGACTGGCCGATCTCTGCATATTTGGACCGGGTGTGTCGGCTAGGTTCTTGCTACTAACAAGCAACTGTGTTAGTATAAATTATAAGGAGCTTATACAAACTACGAAACGCCACATTTCATTCGAGTCGATCGATACTATATATTATGACCATTAGCAACATGACTATCACGTGTTTCTTAACCTAGAAAATGAATAGTTCTTCAAGTCATCACCGTTATCTCTTAAAGAAATATATGAGGCTCGATCTACGTACGTAATGACACCTTCCGGCGGCACCTCCCGCCCCTCCTCGTCCAACATGCTGTGCCCCTTGGATACTTACCGTAAGCCGTCACCTGAGCGGCCTAACACCAACCAAACTACGTATTTCCACTTACACAAAGACGAGGTTGATTCGAGAGGGAACACCTCTAATCACATGCATTCCGCATAGCAATGACGAGAGCCGCCGGCCTTCGATATGATACGTAAAATTCGATTGGGTCATGATTATTTCGCCTCGAGCGCTTGTCCGAGGTAGGCAGGTCCGAGGCTGCGGCAATGATGTTACGCAAAATGAGATAAATAAAACCAACATCTGCCCGAGTGGGCGAGGGAAACACAACCTTCGTATTTTCGACAGTGAATAACTCCGAGGTAAGTCGCTGAGGTAGCGGCTAGCACTAAACGAGACAACGATGGGCAATTACTTTATTCGTTGACAGCGGGATTCCCATCTTGATGCAAGTTTGTATAGTTGTTGTACAGGATGACATGAACAAAGGAAAATATGGTCGGCGGCGTAGAGCGCGCGAAGGGGGCGAGAGTGAATATACAGGGTGAGGACACTCGTTCCTAGCTCCGGCCTTCTCTCCCTTTGCACTTTCCACGATGCCGTAGCCGACTATGGAGACGGCCTGGTCTTCCTGTTAGGGGCATATGACCACCTCTAGTAGTTGTCTAGTAAGAGAGTCCGAACTCGGACCTTTCGTCCCTTCGTCCCTTCGTATTACCCACTATGTTTCCTCGAATGCAAGAACGACACCCACTCCGTCTATAACTTCCCCCCCATCCATGCGTAATACAGAGGTATCTTAGTTAATCATTCTCTCGAGATGCTGCATTAGTGGTGCTCGGCTTGAGAGCCGCCGTGGTACCCAATTATCTTGAAGCGACCGATCATCTCACCGATGGTGAAAAAGCCAAGGCATTCCGCAAGCAGAACGCCGGTAGTAATAAGTTGGGCTCTGCTAATATTTCTCGCTTGCTGGATGATAGTGGCGGGCTGATCTGCAATCTTGGATGCCTTCTGAAGTAGAGAGTTCGGGTTCTTCGCGGACTTTAACACGTTCTGCCAGTAGCTTTGGACAGTAGTAAGAGAACTATGAGTATCTCGTTAGATCCATTAGCAATAACCTGTAAGTATACCTCGAACTCACGGTGGTGACATATTCTGGCCCCTGAAGACGATCTTGGCGAGTTCCGAGCCGACCTTGGAGTAGTAGACAATCGTAGGTACTGATCCTGCAAGCCCAAAGCATCAGTCGCTGTCCAAACAAACACACATACGTCCCTCCTAAGTAACCCGTAATGCTATCACATGGTTCCACGTACTCTCAAAAAATGCGACTAATCTTCCGGTGCGACCACCAACTTTGCCCAGCGAGTTCGCAATTCCCTTGGCGGCGCCTGCAATAGCCGGTCCAGCCGTCGAGGTGACCCTCGAGAGACCCTGCGCTGCCTTAGTCGAGTACTCGGTTGCCTTCGCTGTGTATTCGGACGCCTTTGCCGCATATTGAGAGGCAGTCTGGGAAGCGTTCGAAGAAGCTTTGGATGCAGTCTCCTTGGCCGTCTCCTTAGCCGCCTCGGAAGCCTTAGCGGTGGTGGTCGACTCGAACCTTCGGGCCGCCATGCGACCCCAAGCTCCTGATTGCCGAAGCAGGGGACGTGCGAGAGCGGACGACATTGCTGGACTCGGGTATTCGGGTTACTCTGAGACGTACGAGTAAGAGGCCTAGGTCGTGTCGGTTGACCGGGGAATTGAATGGGAGGGTTGCGGAGGGAAGGGGTGAGAGTTCGCAAGGGTCGTCGTCGATGGGGAAGTTGTTTCTCGCACTGGAAAAAAAAAACACTCAAAAGATTCCCGCTAAATCGGCTGTTCGAAAATGTACCCCCGGCGGAAAAACCCGATCCGAGCTTGGACTTCAAGGTTAAAAACCTAGGTACAACGGTACCTAACCCGTGGATCTTGAGCAATTGGCCAATCAGATTACTAGTAAGTAAAGAAAGTTCCATATTAGTAATGGTTAAAGAAAGGCCTCCTTCTCAGTTCACTTATTCTACCTTTCATCCCATGTCTCCTTCACCTTTTCACCTTTTAGACCCTATGGCTTCATTTTTATCTTTATCTTATACTGATTTTCCTACTTTATGGTAATTTTCACATTGAATCTCTAATATTATAACGGTTGGCTTAATCTATAGTCTTTATTATGCCTTATTTTGTATCATTACCTTAAGAGGATACCTATATTCCCAAAGACTCACTTGACCTTGGCCCTAGCCTTACTCTATATGTAATGGCCTGCCCCCAACCCTGTCGCACACTCTCTTATGGGTATAGCGGAACTCAAGCTAATCAAGACTTTGAATTTGGACCTTAATGGCTCCCGTCTTGGGGTCCGCTGCCGTGTTGAAGGCGTCAAGAGCATCTTCAAGCTTGAATCGATGAGTAACAAGCTTTGAGAGGTCTACTACGCCATTCTCGACCAAGCGAATAGCTCGAGGCCACGTGTTGCAGTATCGGTATTGGAACTCTACGTCAACTTCTCGAGTGCTAGCTCGCATAAAGGGGAAGTTGATTTCGTTCTTTCCAACACCGGTGATGAATACCTTGCCTCCGAATTTAACAGCCCAGACGGCCGATGCTATGCTGCTCTCCACCCCAGTGCACTCTATAGCCAGAGACGGTTCGATGCCACCGAAAGATTCTATTATCTTCTTAGCCGAATCTTCGGCACTCGCCCTCTCTACTTTGTGCGTTATGACTGACGGGCAGATCTCCTTGGCGAATTTCAGTCGTCCTTCATCGATGTCGGTGATGACTAGAGGGCAAGCTCCAGCAGCTTGACAGCAGAGCAATGTGATTAATCCGATCGGCCCAGCACCGCAAACCAGTACCGGGTCACCAAGATTAACACCGGCTCTTTGCATACCAGCTAGTGCGACGCTGAGAGGCTCTAACATCGCTCCGTTCTCGTATGACATATTTCCAATCTTGTGACACCAGATGGCTGGGTGATTTACGTATCTCCTTAATAGGCCCGGAACCGGGGGTGTCGATAGGAATAGGACCTTCTCGCAACCGTTGTAACGGCCCGTTAGGCAAGGCTCACATTCGTTGCAAATGATGTTCGGTTCTATCGCGACTCGATCTCCAACTTTTAGGTGTGTCACCGACGGATGCACCGCGATAACCTGGCCAGCAGATTCGTGTCCCAGGATATGATCTCCCTCTACGATCATAGGTCCGATGCATCCTGCGTGCCAGAAGTGGACGTCGGAGCTGCGTAACGATTAGCAAGACAGTCTTACTTGTCTTATACAAAGGCTACTGACCCACATATCCCAGTGCTCTTGATAGCAACAGTGACTTCACCGTGTTTCAGGCTCTCTCCCTTCTGCACATCCTCCACTGTTGGTTCTGCCTCGTTGATCCATAGCTTGTGGGCGGGATTCGTGAAGACGGCAATGTTTGCCTTGGAAGGCTTCACGACAGTCTCAACTGTAGTCGAGCTCATTTTGACAGCTTCGAGAAGAAAATGAAGCAAGACAAAGGACGGACAACCACGAACAGAGAGAGAAGATTCAAAGAGAGTTTCAAACTACTAGGAGGGGGAGCTCAAAGGAGGGGCCTGCCCGTTATTATGTCCTCCGACCCCTTCGCTTCCGTTCCCCAGTATTTTGTCGAATTCTAGACTGTTGACCCGAAACTGGCTGATCTAAGACGATGTCGGATAAGTTCTCATCTAGCTCGTGGTCTAATACGGCCACCGAGCTATGGCTCTACATGGATCGGAAACTATACCTACATCGGGATTATATATCATCGTTGCGCACACGTATAAAATCCTAGTAGGTCAATGGTATTGTGAATGTTTTGTGCTCTGTCTGCATGAGGGGGGGATGTAGGGTGCTGAATTGGGGCTAGCAACGCGATGACGTTCGGTTGCTATACGTCCGATTAAAAATGGGGGATATGGGGACGGACAAGTTTGTCCTCTTTACCGCACCAATTATTCTTGTCGCACAGCACATCGTCAAGGTCTTATCCCCGCAAAACCTCTATCATGTGGTGGGCAGTACAGTAGCGCGCCTCACGATGGGTAACTAGCTTCGGATGTCGGCCGCAGGAACAATTCTATTAGTTCTGCTAGTTAGTTAGACTTTTTTTCTTCTATGTACATGCGCCATGTAACAACCATCCGAGGCAGCATCGTGACTTTCGGGGTCCATCATCAGCTGGTCTGTCAAATTTGCTTGTAAGTAGATGTTTCCGCGTTTCCACGTCTTATCTTTACGCAACCAGGTATCGAGCAGACCTTATATGTCGTTCTAGCGCGTATAGCCCCGCGAATGGGAAATGTTATATAGCGTGCACATAGATCTAGAATCCAATAAGTCTCTCTAGATATATCTAGCATGGAGCATGGAGCATGGATCTGCGGTCCCTTTGCATGTATGTAATTACATAGGACCCGTGCTTTCAGTAGCGAACCATTTATCTGATGCGAAATCCTCTTAGGGGCAGTATGAGATTGGTATACTGGAATTCTTCAAAGGATGAAGTTGATAATCTCAAGATGGTAAGCTACATGTATGCCAGTGGCAAAGCCCTCCGTGTATGTTACCTACCTGTTTTGTGGTGTTACCACACCAGCCACATTCCTGTACCTAATGGAAGAACTGAGAGGGGGGGGGGGCGACAATTTGTCATCAATTAGGACGCAATATTGGCAGATTGGGTAGCACTTTTTATTGCATTCTACTCCAAATCGGACCCAAATCTTCAACTTGACTTATCTCAACTACCTTACTAACCTAATCCACTACACCATCTACTTCTCAATAAATCTATAGCTATTGCCCACCACCTTATATATCATCTTTCTACATTTAGCTAGTTCGCAATCCCTATTTTAAAAATGAATAACGGCGAATCTAAAAGTGGCGTTGGCTATCTAGCTCGCCTTGAACATTTTCATCAGCTCGATAAAGAGAGGGAGGATATGATTAAAGATTTAATAGCTAAATACGATGACCTCGAGCAGCGCTTCGAGTTGAAATGTAAAGAATTTGATAATGAGGTTCAAACACGCTCTATATACCAATCTCGAGCCAATGATGCTGACACGAAGCTCACAAATATTCGACATAAAATGGTAAAGCATACTACCTAGGCCCTTATAGCCCGTGGTATCAGACATACTAAAGTCATCTAGGATGTTAATTCTTTTGCTATTGCTATTATCGATGGCGACGGCGCCGTTTTTCGTGACGATTGGATTAGGAAGGGTGAAGACGGCGGCGCGATGGCCGCCCATCAATTGCGCGACGACATTAAGAAGCATCTTAAAGAAGCTTATCCCGATGTTAACATCGAGACGTGGCATATAATGGTTCAGGTCGTTCTTAACCTTGAGGGCCTCTCTAGAAAGCTTTTTTGTGTTGACCTCGCAAAGAGCATGAGCGAGCTATCCGCCTTCGCTCGTGGATTTAGTCGTGCTCAGGGGCTTTTTTCTTTTATCGACGTCGGCAAGGGCAAGGAGCAGGCCGATTTTAAAGTCCGCGAAACGCTACGCTTGATGGTGCATAATCTTCAGTGCAAGCATATTATCTTTGGGCCTTGCCACGACAAAGGTTATATCGTCGAACTCAGGCCCTATCAGCTCGAGACGTCTATTCTTAACAAGATCACTTTACTTGAAACTACCCAGCCCCCGCGCGAATTTAGCGAGCTGGCGTTCCGCAGAGTCAAGTTTAACGATGTTTTTCGCTCCGAACTCCTTCCAGAAGGCTGGCTTCCGCCAACTCCTCCACCGTCGACAAGCAAACCAACCCCAGTAACACCATCCTCAGTAAACAAGGCAATCAACTATTCCGCTATCGCTTCTTCGTGGACTAGCACGATTCCGTTTGTCAATAGCTTCAAAAAGCCTGTGGCCACGCCGGTGAAATCGATAAAAGCATCTCCCCGCAAGTTTTATTTTGTTAATGCCTCGGGTCAGCGTGTCGATGGGCCCCTACCGCAAGCCGATGCCTACTCCGAACAGCGTTTCAAAGACCGTTGCGAAGAAGAGGGAAGCAGGAAGCCCTGCAACAGATACCATCTACATGGTATCTGCGAGGAAAATGCATGCTTGTACTACCACGGGGACCCCCTGAGCCCGGGCGAGCAGCTCATCTTACGAGTTAAAGCCAGAGGCTCTTTATGCAATTACAAGAGCTCCTGTAAGAGCATTGACTGTTATTGGGGCCATCATTGCAAGTATCAGAAGTGCCAAAGACTTAATTGCGCCTTTGTTAATACTCATGGGATTGACTTAGTAAGCTACCTTTATTTACTCGTTCCTTAGTCAAACATTACCGTAACGAGGGTTATTGTAGTATGTCTACTAGTCAACCTGTCATCCCCGGGATCCAGGCTCGAGTCAATTCTGATGCCCACGACTATTTGCTTCATGGTCATTTAAGTTTTCCTACGTAGAATACGCTAACATGAAAACAGACTCCTGCGGAGAAAGTTTACGAAGATGGCTCACGAGAGGTTTTATCTCCTTAAGAAATATGGCGGCCTAGTATATAGGACTTGCGCAAAATCGTCGCCGACGTTGTTACCGGCGTATTTAAATATTATTTTTGAGTTACTTATGATACAATAAAAGATGTAATAGATGAGAGTGGATATGCTTTTTATTATGAGAGAGAGCTATGTACAGATTATGGTAATATGTTATGGTTTACAGTGTGCTTGTCAGGGTTATAACACAAGCCTTCTAAGGCTAATTGATAACCCTCACACATCAAATGATCTTACTTCTTTGGTTTACGCTCCTTTTTTGGCGTGCCCGAAAAGATGAACATATATGTTCGATACAAGGCTGTGAGTACTGCATAATGCTCATAGACACCTAGCAGTCGGAAAAACAAGGCGTTATCTTCCTTCTCTGGTGTACATTCCTTTGGTTTATTTCCCTTCTTTGGTGGCATTTTTTCAGCGTACAGTTTTGTGTTTATGTGTATGTTTAGATTTACGATAGTAGAAGTTATCTGTAACAGGTAGGTAATTTAGTTTACTCTATTAGAAACAATGAAGATTTGATTGAAAGGCAAACACTGTAAATTTATACGAGATAGCAATAATCTCCTTGTTCCCCAGATGTCGAATTGTATTGAATCAATCGAATTGTTCATCTTTGACTGTGACAATGCCTTTGATCACGGATATGAAATTCATATTTTGAATTGATTGTAGATGAACGTGTTAGCACATTGTGTTAGCAAACCACGATATATAAACATCGCTTTCTACCCAAGTCTCTTCTCATTTTTTCCCACCATCATCACAAGATCTATCCTTCTGTGAGAACTCAAGAATCTTCCGAACTTTATCATTTAAAGCAACATCAAGAAACACTTACAACACTTTATTAATTCAAGCTCCCTTTGACCACGTCTTACCACCGAATAAATCTGATCAAAATGGCTTCTGGAAACACAGATATGCTCAGCCTTCGCTCCCGCGATGGTGTAGTCGTTCAAATTAGCCGCGCGGCTGCCCGTTTATCTGAGGTCCTTTCCGACATGATGAACGATATCGACGAAGAGGGTACCACTGAAATCCCTATCTCAGAAGTTAACTCAGCGACCTTGAATATCATCGTTGAATGGTGCGAGGCCACAGCTATAAAGAAAGCTCAGGAAGAGGCGAGAAATGAAGCAGAGAGGATTGCGAAGGAGAATCGTCGAAGAGCGCGAAAGGAGGCTCGAGAAGCGCGTGAAGCGGCTCGATTGGAGCGCGAAGCCCAGGGTGAGGAGGTCGGACCCCCGGAGCCAGCCAACGATGACTCGGAGAGCGACCATGAACCCATCAGGTCCACTGTCTATGAAAAGCCCGCTACCGTGATTCCTGAATGGGACACGGCGTTCCTAGGCAGGCTCACTAAGGACCAGATGTTCGACCTAATCACGGCCGCGAACTTCTTCGATATCAATGAGCTCTTCGACTACTGTGCTAAGTCGATTGCGACGGTCGTCGAGAACATGTCGACTGAGCAAATGCGTGAGTACTTCGAAGTCGAGAACGACTTTACCCCGGAGGAAGAGGAACAGCTTCGCAAGGACCACGGATGGGCTGACCCTCACCCGAGTTACTATAACTAATTTTTCTACTCGCGTATAGGGACGAAAGACAGTCCATCCGGCTTTAAATATCGCTAGTTTAGCTTGACTATGTGTATTATTAGTATAAAGTAGTAAAATAAAAGAAAAAAAAGGGGTTCATTAATTTATTGTACTACTTATTACGAGAGGGTGTGAATTGTTTTCCATGTTTTACTTTCTCGGTGTTTGCATGTCATAGAAAACGGAACTAATATAGGGAGTTTGTTACGTAACTTAGAACTTGAAGTAAACGAAACTAAAAGATAAAAAAAAACAGAACATACAACACCGGGGATTCGCTGGTCGTCACCGACCCAACTACTAGTCCGGCGGTATCTGGTTTATCGATGGGAGAGCGGACGGGATCCCGAGTTTTCCAGATCCTATGGTCGTATGTGATGGTTGTAGTTGTTTTTTCAATATATGTATCCAGTCACTGCCAGGTGAAGGGGCTAAAGGGCCCCATCCATTTAGCTAGCCAACTCAGTAGCTAATAAGTTCAACTTACATTCACCAGTTGGAACTGGAAAGCGTAGTAACAACTTCATTGTTCCGTAAGGAATTTTGAACTTGGCTATGGAGGCTTGTGGTCAGTTATATATACTGAAGGTATCCTTCTGGATGTCTCATCTAGAACCCTAGCACAACTCTTAAACTAATTTAAAAGATTAGGAGGCCTAACTAACAGACTAGCATATAATTAAAGTGTATTTCTCTCTATAAGTAACTAAAAAACCCTTTTAAAAAAAGATTTGGTTGGGATTAGAGTAAGAAGCTTCTAATAATGTAATGGATTCTGAGGTATTTAGACCATGGTAATATAACTGAGATAATGAAGGTTATACTCATATTTGCACATGATTCTAGGCGATACAAGTTATTAAGATCAAGAGTTTATCAATCATCAAAGCTAGGTAATTAACAACTTGATCTTCAATATAAATGGGAATCATCCAATACTTCGGGGTTGCTTAGCTAAGCCTCAAGTTCAAGCCACAACATTCCATGATGCTACTTGGCCTTGTCCACAAACCCCCCGTCAACCCAAATCTTATCAAGATTCAAGACATATCTAGGATAACATCATTAATCTAAATATTTTGAGTCTTCTAGTCTTCTGTCTACATAAGTTTCAAATCCCTGCTAGTTATATGTTATTCTACATCCTAGTGTTTAACGTTCATTTTAATGCTTTTCCAGGTCTCAAATCGAAGACATGGCCCATGTCGCGGTGTCATAAAGGCCTATAACTCAAGAAGATATAGAATATTGGGCCAGAGATAACCCAAACCGTCCTGGGAGCAGACCCGAAATTAGAATCCAAAGTATTTGCCAATCGCTTGCGCCCGTCGCGCTACGAATAACTTGGACAGAGGAAGCTATCGCCGCCGGCTTAGACGTTAACCAACTGCTTCCTCATTCAAGCCGGCCTTTGCAAGAAGCGATTGAGAACCCCCAAAATCGCGACTGGCGCACTATGACTACGCTGGACCATTACGAAAGCCTTGATCTAGTGAGGTGGCTGTTGGATCACGGTGCTGACCCTCGGTTGAGGGATTGGGCTGCCGTTAGTGCGATAGATGAAGCATTAATAAATAAGCTTCGTAATAAAGACTCTCCTATAGCCGAGTTCTATGACCAGGCGCGCAAGATGATGATAGAAGCTGCTAGAAAGCTTGAAGGTATCTACCTGTTATAATTACTTGACGGTCCCCTTACTTCCAAGAATTGATACCCTAGGTAGCTAAGCTTCGTAACAGATAAAGAGGTAGCCGAGATGACCATCTTGGACCGCTGTAAAGACTTGCTCGGTGCTGGCAAGTACTTCCACGACCACTGGTGTGTTCTTTGTAGGCGCGGATACCTAGGGCATAAGAAAGGTGAGCAGAAAAAGGACTGCGAATATTGCAAGGAAGAAAAGGAGTTTAATTGGCACTATACGCGCACTGATGCATTAATGGTGTATCAGAGGTATATATAAGCCTTAAAAATAGGTCGGAACATAAGATACTTGAAGCTATATCTCTCCCATTAATATGTATCTAAGTCTTCAAACCGATCCCTACTCCAGGAATTATGACCTAACGCCTAACTATAGAATCCCAAAGAGCAGTGCAAGTCATTCGTTACAGCATACTACTCTTCCCCTCCAAATCTTGCAGATGCATCCACCAAAGTTTCTAACAGTCGAGCTTTGGGATAGGGCGCTTCATCTTTTAGCACCACCATGCTGCCTCCATATAATGTATTCTGGAAGTGCTGCTTTGCCTTAAAGTATCGTTGCTGACGGACGCGACAGTACTCGTCATACCGTCCCTCACCAATTGTCGCCAAGACATATTTAGGGTGTACTCCGAGCGCTTGGGCCCCTTTCTGGCCAAAGCCGAAGCTCGTCACGCTGAACGCGTTTACCTCGTCAACTTTGATAGTTCGATTGGGAAACACGAGGTTCTCCCAGGGCTCAAGCGCGACGTCGATGTTGTCTGCGTTCTTATTGCCTGGAACAGCCCCCGTGTCGAGAATCTGGCAACACCCGTTGAGCATCCAGGCTGCTGCGGCACCTTTGGGATGTCCGGTTAGATATTTCTGACACACGGCTAGGGCTGCGTTGCCGGGAGTGCGGCCAAGATGACTGAGTTGTCGGTGGAGTACTTCTACTTCGTTCTTCTCGTTAAGATCCGTTGAGGTACCGTGGAGAGATACGACGCCGATGTCGTCGGCAGTTAGGTTCCAGACGGCTAGGGCACCGCGCAAGGGCGAAATACGCGTGTCGTGCGTCCAGAAGGCGTTGCCAAATCTGCGTCGAGCCTCCTTCTCCTCGCGCCGAGCAGCTAGGTCGAGTTCGTCAACCGGGCTACTAGATCCCGCCAGAGGGCCGAAAAGCTCTTGACGCTCGCGGATTGACTTTAGGGAGTGCTCGAGTAGCCGTCTCCTATAGTTGATGTCTAGAAGTGGAGATGGACCGAGGCTAGGGCTTTCACGGACGTTTACCATGATGCCTTTTCCAGGGGCAGGAACTGAGCGACCGACGCCATCGCTGGCCGTTTGAACATGCGCAACAATAGATCGGATGGGCAAGCCTAACTCTAGGGCTACTTTGGCGTTGGTAAGTAACTGCATGCCACACCCCTCTGATTCGACAAATCCTTTCCGGGACGAGGCACACGGGCGAGACGTCTCATGTGGCGCGCGGCCGCGCTCAATGTCAGCCATACTGTTGTTTGTTGCTTTCATATTGGCAAATTCTGCCGACGTATCCTGAGTCATATCGTCGAAACCCCCTACTAGACATACCTTCGCAGCGCCGCTTGTAATAAGATCGTATCCTTGGTTGAGAGACTCGAGTGCTGTCGCGCAGGCACCGACAGGCGTTCTTGTCGGACCCGCCGACGACATGAGGAGCATGTTCAGCCATGCACCTGTCGTGTTGATGAATACTTCGGCTAAGATATCGCTTTGTACTGGCCGGTCAAGATACCCTTGGCGGTAGAGCTTCTGTAGAGATTGGCCGCCGCCCATACCTGATCCCACGCAACTGGCGAGTTCCGAGATGTGAATCGTTTTATATAATTCATATACGTCGGTAATTCCTGCCGAGAGGAAGGTCTCGGCAGCGCAGACAAGTGCCATCTGTGTGCATCGATCCACGCTCTCGCGGAGATCCTGTGGGAGCCCGTATACTGTCGGGTCCCAGCCAGTTGGGAGTTGACCACCGACGATCCTGTCGAAGATTCTTGCCTTGGGGATCATCAGGGTAGCGCCTTTCCTGAGACGCACGGAGAACTGATCGCTCTTGGATATCTGCTTAATATCGACCTTGTCGCCCTGTTCTCGGACAAACTCCATGGCCGTGTCGAATGACGCGGTGAAGGGCTCTAGGTCGTGCTGGACAATCACCTCCTGGAGAAACTGTTTGCTATCCCGGTTAGGGTGGTCCAGGGCACTCGGCTCGATAAGGCGAAGTCCTGTATGCTCTAGAATCTGCTTCTCGTACTTCGCCTTTATCTCGTAGTCGTGCACAGGTGTACCGGTAGCTACATCGAGCCATGCGGGTGCTGCGCCGTCTGTTGGAGGAGCTGGCTTGGGATTATGCTTGATAAATCCCGTCATCCAGGCCAGTTCAGTACAGCCTTGGATTGACAGCTCTCCTTTGAGCTCCATCTCCCATCTTGTCCGAGAGTTTCCCCAGGGTCCAATCTCGGCGAAGCCGACCACAACTACGACTGAATCTAGATCGACCATATTATCTAGCTTGGAGTTCAGGTGCTTCAACTTGGTCGGGTAGTCAGGCAGTGTTGGAAACCCTAGGTCAAGATCAACCAGAGGTGGTTTAGGTAGCGTCGAATTCGATTGCGACGTCGCGGTGGGTTTGCCTCGAGTAGCGATCTCGTCGAGGGCTTCTTCTTCAGCTAGGGCCCGCTTGATCTCCTCGTTTTGGCGCATCGAATTCCTTATTCCAGCAATGAATGCTGCTAGCTCGGGATCGCTACCCATGCCTCCGCTCAGGTCCGCCAAGAGACATTCAGTCTGGCAGATCGATACCACGGGGTCCGACATGAGTCCTATTATAAGTCTTCCCATCTCTTCCGTCGAGAAGGTGGTCACACCGCGTTTAGCAATCTCCTCTGCAATTGCGTCGTTAGCTGCCATTAGGCCTGTGCCTCGAGTCCAACCAATAATAACGCCACAAAGACATAGATAATCGCTCCAGCTCTCAGAGGACCACTTGTTCAACAATGTCATTAGTCCGATCTTGGATTCGGAGTATAGACCATCATTCCCGAACGTGCCGTGGTTGGGGGAAAGGGGTAACAAGACCTGCGCTGGTCTTGTACGAGAGCCTTTCGACTCCTTTGCGAGCTTAACAGCACCCATGATCCTCAATACATTTGTCAGCATAGCTCTATGCGCAAGCTCCGACTTCGAATCGATATTATCGATCTCACGGCCTTTTTCAGGCAGTGCCGCAAACGGGATAATGAAATCGAGATCCCATCCAAGACCGTTGACCGGGTCATAGATGTGGGCGACCAGATTCTCTATATCCTGCTTACTTCCCTGGTTACATGGAAGAACAACGAGCTTGGATCCGTTTGCCCCGTAGCTCGCGAATATCTTCTGATAAATGGGGCCCGCCTCGGACATGGTCCTGGTGGTTGTGACTAAGACCCTGGCTCCTCCCTGGAGAAGCGATTGGAGAAGGACTATGCCGATCGAATTTGGACCCGCGCCTGTCAGCAGGACGTCTTTTCCGGCAAACAATTTCGTCGCTATTTGGTCGTCTGTGCTCATGAGGGTCGTTAGTTGTTGGTCCGGAGTCCACGAAGCCCCTTTCCTCCGAAGTATATGAGGGGACTTTGTTCCTTTGGCTTCGGGTTCTGATTGCTGCTTTGGAGTTGAGAGCGGAACGCCTTGGTAGATTTCTTGCGGCTTGGATTTTATAGGCTTCGTATCTTTAGGATTGAGCTTGTTAAGCATCGTTTCGATTCTTTCGATCCCGCTGTCTTTGGAGGATACCTTGCTAAGCAAGTACTGCCCGGCCCTCTCGAGTCTGCTGCCAGCCCTACTTCTAAGGCCTGCTATAGCCGATTCAAGACCATCCTGGTTCTCACTGCCCTCTAAGAGCTTGTAGTACTCGTCGAGTAGGTCGACGTGGCCCCAATTCCAGACAGAGTCATATGATCGCTGATGATTGGCTTTGAAGATCGGCTTGATACCGTTGCAGAAGTCTTCGCCTAGTTCTTTTTCGTACATATCGATTTTATCCTGTGTTTCTGCGGAATCATCGATAGCTCCGGATGATGTCGCAGATTCGTCGTCATCGGAAAGAAGGGCGGCAATCTTCTTCTTTAATTGTGAGTGCTCATCGCGCAGCTGTTGTACTACTTTGGAATCAAGCATAGTCTGTTGCGGGCTGGCTGCAGCCGTGCTCCCTTGTCTAGATAGGCCTGCACTGTCTAGATGCCCCTGAGAGATGGTGTTGAAGAATGCCTCAGCATCTTCGTTCTTCTTTAATCTAGCTGCTGGTTGTTGCCCAAGCGCTAGTAAGAGAACTGAATCTTGTCTTCCGGGGGCGAGGCCCCATTTGTCGTTTAGGTAGGATCTGGCAGAGATCAAGTCGAATGAGCCAGGCATTTTCGATCCAACCATCTTCTCAACCCGGGTGCGTAAACACTTCTTCAACTTTCCGTCGTAAGTGCCTTGAATTGTTGCAGCAAGTTCCTTAAGGGGTATGTTCTCGACGTCATCCGCTAACGGCCCAAATTCTTCTAACATATCCCCTATTATCTCGTTCTGTACAATTGACCTACCCCCAGAAATGGCTTTAACGCTTTCATCAAGCTTAATTTCTGAAGATGACTTTTTCAAACTGCTTGCGATAAGTGCCGTAACTGACTCTAACGCAGTAATTGGGACATCGGGGATTGGGCTATCTGCTTTTGTAGGGATATATGTGCTCGCAGGAGGTGCCTCGGGAGTAGGTATCTTCGCCCCCGGAGTTGATTCCGGATTACTCTGTGATATCGGCTTCTCTACCCTCTCCGGCTCTGGGGGTGGAGGTATATCGTAACGAAGATCGTCGTAGTTGGAGCTGGTCGAGAGAAGAGACCGCTTAATCCCATTGACAGCGTCCGACTCGAGATTGAATTGGCCTAGAGTTTTCTTTGCCATATTTAATAGTGTAGGTGATGGACCAAACTCGACTAGTTTCTCAACATTGACTTTGTCAAAGAGTATGCTTTGAGTTTCTGACCACCGGACAGGCATCGCAAATTGATATCTGTTATCTCTTGTGTCAAAATCCGTCATACATATATATAAGTCGATTTGGTTAAGAGAAACTTACGCTAATAACTCCGTGAGGAGCACATGAGCAAGCTCTCGCTCATGTTGTTGGTGTGTCATCTTGACGAACTTCACTATTGAGCTTATCGACAGCACTCTATAATGTCCAACTCGAGCGTAATTCTCATGTGCGAAGGAGGATAGGTATTACTCGATTTTGCGCAACGATGAGAAACACGACAGAGAAAATATGTAATTGAAATTTTTACAATAAAACAGCATGCTTCTTCGTAATAGCAGGTAGTTATGCTGCTATTCAAGGTATTCAACTTGAAGTTCTATTCACTCTAGGCCTAATGTCCCAGCATCCCCAATTCCCTGAATCCCCAAATCCTGCATTCCCTTATTCCGGTTACACTGGCGATAAACTCCCAAATCATAGGGCTCCAGTGCTCTACTACCCTCCCATAATCCCGCATTCCAGTTATTAACAGGCCTAGCCTTTAGGCCATTTTTATTGTATCTTGGCAGAATTAGATGAAGCACATAGCCATTTCTAAGCCCTCGCCTTTTGCTTGATATACGAATGGTATAAACTTCTCTCAAGCAAGCTTGATCATTCGTATACTTACACGTCTCTCATGAATACCTTTCTTATACAATCCAAAATATAATTCCTATATTGAACGAGTTAATGCGAACTTACATTTATTTGCTTTAGTTCACATCTATCGACCTCTGAAATATTCTGCACCCACCCGGCTTGGCGGTTTACACGATATATGTTAACATTTGGAGGAACCGACGCCAACAAACAAAGAGGAATTCCAATTCCAAACCACAGTCATGATAGACTTAGATGGATCGGACTCAAGTCCGGAAATCTTCACCCCCGAACCTGAGACGGGATCTCAATCTCAACCACTCACTCTAATCAACAATACCCTCGAACATACCTTCATAATACCCACCTTCTTGTACGCCAACGCGATTCAATTGCGAGATAGATTTCTCAAAACACTTATCAACCCAAACAAACAGGATAATGAGGGTTATAGTCCGTTATCTATTATTGAGCTCGTCTCGGAGTTCCTCTGCTTCATCGCCAAGGAAGTAGAAACACACATCGATCCTAGCTTTGACAAGGAGGTGCTTAATTTCGTCCTCCAGTCATTCGAAAGGGAGCTACTGCACGGCGAGGAAGTTCATGCGTTCGTCGCTGGGCTTCCGGATGATATTGATAAACTTATGGTAATCCGGTCATATTATATCGCCGTCGGAGCAGTAAGGCGACCTACTGGTGCGCCAGAGTCAGCCCTCATGCGTGCAGCTCTAAAAGGCACCGCTCGTGTGTATGCTGTATTCGGCGGCCAGGGTAATACGAAAACTTACCTTGACGAACTACGGGATGTTTACGATGTCTACCCAACACTCACAAGACGGTTCCTTGTCCCTGCGGCGCGTTTCCTTGAGCGCCTCTCACGCGATATCAGGGCTTCTCAGGCCTTTGTACACGGCCTGGATATCATGCGCTGGCTGGAACAACCCGACTCCCAGCCGGACTACGATTACCTTGTTTCGGCACCAGTGAGCTTTCCTCTCATTGGCTTGCTGCAAATTCTTCATTATATAGTCACAACTTCGTCCCTTGGAACGCATCCTGGCGGCATGAGAAATCGCCTTTCGGGTACAACAGGTCATTCTCAGGGCGTCATCCTCGCAGCCATAATTGCCGCATCCGCAGATTGGCAGAGTTTTGAGATACAGGGCAAAAAGGCGCTCACGATACTATTTTGGATTGGCGTTCGCAGTCAGGAGGCATACCCACTCCCCTCCATTCCACCAAGTGCTCTGGAGGACTCGGTAACACATGGCGAGGATGAACCAACCGCTGCCCTCTCTATTAGGGGTATGGCTCGAGAAGTCCTCGAAAAGCACATTGCGAAAGTGAATGGGGTGCTCCAGGAAGACCGACATATCGTTATAGCCTTAGTGAATGGCACAAAGAACTTTGTGGTTGCTGGCCCGCCGATGGCATTGTACGGGCTCAATAAGCAACTTCGCCGGGTGAAAGCAAGCGAGAATGTGGACGAGTCTCGCATACCATTTAGCCAAAGAAAGTTGAACATCATGAACAGATTCCTTCCAATAACGGCCCCATTCCATAGTCCCTATCTACGATCGGCTATAGAAGCGCTTCAAGATGACCTAAGAGAGACCATCATATCTCCTAGCGAGCTCGCCATCCCAGTATACTCAACCTTCAGCGGAAAAGACATTAGGAATGAACTACAGGGGACAGACAACATTGTGCCCTCCCTGGTTAAGATGATCTGTCAAGATCCAGTACATTGGGATGAGTCCATCGCAATGCCTGATGCGACACACATACTGGACTTTGGTCCTGGGCGTACTGCAGGTGTTGCTGGCCTCACAAGCCGCATTAAGGACGGCACCGGAGCCCGTGTCATCCTCGCAACCAACATCACTAACCCGACACACCCCGAGATTGGCTGCAAGCATGAGATATTTGCTCGAAAGAAGTCAGATCTTACATACGGCACGAACTGGGCTAAGCAATATGGTCCAAAATTAATCAAGACTTCTACTGGCCGGACGTTCGTCGATACCAAGATGAGCAGACTACTCGGTCTTCCGCCAGTCATGATCGCTGGAATGACCCCTACAACAGTACACTGGGACTTTGTAGTCGCTGCGATGAAGGCGGGATATGAAGTCGAGCTAGCATGCGGTGGCTATTACGACGCGAATAGCTTGACTGAGTCAATCACAAAGATTTCAAAGGAGATTCCTCCCGGCCGCGGCATAATGCTCAACGTCATTTATGCCAGTCCTAAAGCCATTGCTTGGCAGATCCCACTTATACGCGATTTATGTGCGAGAGGGTTGCCGATAAAGGGGCTAACTATTGGCGCCGGCGTTCCATCTCTCGATATCGCGAATGAGTACATTTGCACGCTTGGAATTAGGCAAATTGGATTCAAGCCTGGGTCCGTCCAAGCCATCCAACAGGTTATTAAGATCGCCCAGGCTAATCCAGGGTTTCCGATAATATTGCAGTGGACTGGTGGCCGTGGTGGCGGGCACCACTCATGTGAAGACTTTCACGAACCGATCTTAGAGATGTACGGCAAAATACGGCGTTGTTCTAATATTGTGCTTGTGGCCGGCTCTGGGTTTGGTGGCCCGGATGATACTTACCCCTATCTAAGCGGCACCTGGGCTAAGAAATTCGGTCTCCCGCTTATGCCTTTTGACGGGGTGCTCCTTGGAAGTCGATGTATGGTGGCCAAGGAGGCACATACGTCTAAAGGAGCAAAGCAAGCCATCGTCGATGCGCATGGCCTTGATGACCGAGAATGGGAGAAAACGTATCAGAAGCCTGTCGGCGGAGGCGGGATCATCACCGTCCGATCCGAGATGGGAGAGTCTATCCACAAGCTCGCCACGCGCGGCGTCATTTTCTGGGCTGAGATGGATCAGAAAATATTTAGCCTACCTAAGGAGAAGCGCATTCTTGAATTAAAGAAAAAAGATACTCGCGAGTATATTATTCGACGGCTTAATGCCGACTTCCAGAAACCATGGTTTGGTCTCACTGCTTCCGGCAAAGCGGTTGACCTCCGGGAGATGACTTATGTCGAGGTTATTTCCAGGATGATCGATCTTATGTTCATTAAACACCAGAAGAGGTGGATTGATAAGTCTCTTGCCAAGTTAACAGGGGACTTTATTAGCTACGTCGAGCAGCGCCTTGCTACACACGCGAGTGCGGCCAATAGCCAACTTATAAAGACGTACAGGGAACTTGTCGACCCACTACCCATCGTCAACAGACTGCTCACAATATACCCCTCGGCGGCTAAGCAGCTTATGAACTCTCAGGACTGCTTACATTTCTTGAGTCTTTGCAAGCGCCCCAACCAAAAGCCGGTGCCATTCGTCCCATGTCTAGATGAAGACTTTGAAGTATGGTTCAAAAAGGACTCATTATGGCAGTCCGAGGACCTCGACGCAGTAGTCAACCAGGATGTAGGCAGGGTCTGCGTCCTCCACGGACCTGTTGCTGCCAAGCACTCAACTACTACCGAGGAACCCATCAAAGAAATTCTCGATCACATTCACAAAGGTCATATAAGAATCCTCACACGAGACCTTTATAATGGCAGTGGGGAGAAGATACCAACTGTTGAGTACTTCGGAGACAAGATTGCAGACACTGCTCACGATGCTCGCCTTATCCTCGAGGGAGTCGCTATTTCTGAGACCAGGAATGAGTTAAGACTATTCATTCCGGGAACAACCGTTCCAGATAGAGATGAGTGGATGCAATTACTTGCAGGCGATCAGACTACGTGGCGTCGCGCTCTATTTACTACGGATGTCTTCGTTCAGGGGTATCGCCTTGAAGCTAATCCACTACGCCGTCTTCTTGCCCCTTCTCGCGGGATGGTCATACATATAGCACAACCAGATGACTCGGACAAGACAGTTATTACTGTTGAGGAAAACGTCAGTGGAAAACAGTTGCCGACGATGAAAATCGGTCCATTGTCTGGCAACGTCATTCCGTTATATCTCATTGAGCACCGAACCGCACTAGGCAGCCCAGTCGTACTCCCGCTTTTATTTACTTATCATCCTGAAGCGGGATACGCGCCTATCCATGAGGAAATGGCTTCCCGAGACGAGCGTATTAAAGACTTTTACTACAAGCTTTGGTTTGGTACTGATAGACCTGATATCCGCTTAGATGCAGCGATGTCTCATGTCAAACCCTGGGATGGCGGCGAAACTACCATCTCTAGCCCAGCGATACGTGAGTTCGCACGCGCAGTGGGTAACACTGCTGAAGCCTACATTGAACGGCCGGGGAGAGATCATCTCGCGCCTATGGACTTCGCTATCATTGTCGGCTGGAAGGCTCTCATGGAGCCCCTATTCCATGCCGTCGACGGAGACCTGCTGAAGCTTGTCCACCTCTCTAACCGTTTCCGCATGGTCCCTGGCGCGACTCCATTTAAAAAGGGCGACACTCTAAGCGCAACTTCTGAGATCACTGCTATTATCAACCAAGACTCCGGTCAAATGGTTGAGGTTTGCGGCACGATCACGCGAGACGGCGGAAACCCCGTGATGGAGGTCATGTCGCAGTTCTTCTACCGCGGCATCTTCGCTGACTACAAGAAGACGTTCCAGCGTAAAGCTGAGCCTCAAGTCAGAGTAGCACTCAAGGGCCCCAAGGAAGTTGCCGTGCTAAAAGCAAAGAGGTGGCTCAAGTTAGAAGGAGACGCCGACGATCTTCTGTTAGGTCATAACGTCGTATTCAAGCTACACACCTCGACCCGATTCAGCGACAAGGTCACATTTGCCTCTGTTGAAACTAGCGGTACGGTCGAGATCGAAGTCCCGACTACCAAGGAGCTGGTCCGCGTGGGAACGGTGAATTACGTGTCTGATGGGCCTTCGCGCGGGAACCCGGTCCTGGAATACCTTGCTCGGAACGGGTCTAAGCTGGACCAGCCTGTTTATTTCAAGCACCCGATCCCGATACAAAACAACTATAGTAAAGCTCCTCTAGAGATCGAAGCGCCTGTCTCCAACGAGAATTATGCCCGTGTGTCGGGAGATTTCAACCCAGTTCATGTTTCACGCGTCTTCTCCAAATACGTCAATTTACCAGGCACGATAACTCATGGCATGTACACCAGTGGTGCGGTCAGGAGCTTAGTCGAGACCTGGGCGACGGAGAACAATGCTTACAGGATGCGTGACTATAATGTCAAGTTTGTCGGGATGGTGCTCCCTGGAGATCGGCTCGAGGTCCAGCTGCACCACATTGGTATGGTGTCTGGCCGCATGATTATCCAAATTGAGGTAGTCAAGAGCGGCGAGACAAGAGATAAGGTATTAGTTGGTGAAGCCATCATCGAGCAACCCACATCTGCATATATATTCACGGGCCAGGGTTCTCAAGAGAAGGGAATGGGAATGGAATTGTATGAGAAGAGTGCGGTAGCCAGAGACGTCTGGGACCGTGCCGACAAACATTTCCTTGATACTTTTGGTTCGTTTCACCCCTTACCTACCTCCTAAGGCACCTTGGAACAAAATACTAATTTAGTCATGCAGGATTCTCTATTCTTCACATCGTTCGCAACGATCCAAAAGAGCTCACAGTATACTTCGGTGGCGCTCGGGGCAAAGCCATCCGACAAAACTACATGGCCATGACCTACCAAAGCCTCGAGCCGGCTGCAGACGGTAGCCCTAAACAGGAGAAGGTGTTTAAGACTATAACGGAGTATACTACGTCGTATACCTTCCGCTCGCCGACCGGATTGCTCTCGGCGACACAGTTCACACAACCAGCACTTACACTGATGCAAATGGCAGTCTTTGAGGACCTTCGAGCTCAAGGCGCCATTCAGAAACACAGTGTTTTCGCCGGGCATTCTCTAGGCGAATACAGCGCCCTCGCATCCATCGCCAAGGTGATGCCGGTTGAGACGCTCGTGTCAGTGGTGTTCTACCGCGGCTTGTGCATGCAAGTTGCCGTTGAAAGAGACGAAGCTGGCCGCTCGAACTACTCAATGTGCGCAGTTGATCCTTCGCGGGCCAGTACACGGTTCAACGAGCAGGCGCTCAAGCGCGTAATCAAAGCAATCGGCGATGTCACGGGCTCATTCCTAGAGATCGTCAACTACAATATCCGCAACATGCAATATGTGTGTGCAGGCGACCTGCGTGGTCTAGACGTGCTAGGCCATGTTATGGATGGTATTAAGGCACACAATGTAGATGTGCGTCATCTGGAATCAGAGGACAATCATAATCTCCTGGTCAGAGTGATCGAAAAGGCAGACCGGCACTCGAGAGCTAAGCCTATGCCGCTTGAGCTAACACGAGGCCGAGCTACGGTACCGCTCCGGGGGATCGATGTCCCGTTTCATAGCTCGTACCTACGACCCGGAGTACAATCTTTCCGCTCGTTCTTGCTCAAGAACCTCGAGGAGAAGAGCATCGACCCGGAACAGCTCGTCGGCAAGTACGTACCGAATCTGACGGCTAGACCATTCGAACTTACAAGGGACTACTTTGAATATGTACATAGCATGACCCAGTCTCCTCGCATCGGCAAGGTTCTAGAAGGCTGGGAGTAATTACAAGATGTCGTGATGTTGATAGTGATAGTGATGGGTATATCGAATATCGAAGGGGGTGGTGTATATCCCGGGAACCGGCGTTAAGAGAGATGTTTTTTTATTGGGGTCCGCATTAGAAAGCATCCAATTAGGAAAATTCATGTCCGCTGTCAACGATATATAATTAGAAGTTGTATCCCGAAGTTTCTTGCTGTCCCGTACTTTCTAAGCGACGTTGCGACGGAAAGCCCCCCCCTCCCTTCGCATGGTTCTGCAGAATGCATGATGTGCGGCGTCACTTGACTCGATGTTTGGGTCCGAGGGGGGGGGTTTTGTCGTGATGTCAGGACTACATATGTGATATACGTTGCTTGGCTGCAGGATGGCCGCACTGGCTCTACGAATACGGTTTATCAGCTCTCTCGCTGCATACCTTTTTGGGACTTGTATTTACATTGTACTCGATCTAGATTTTAAATTAAACAACGTGTTCCCCACGATATGTCAAATTGACCTTTCCAGAGGCGTTCTAGTGTGTATAACCTCGAGTATAGTCAACCCTGTTAGAAAATCTTGAGTTAAATCATAACAGACAGCTAATAAGACAATATGCCGAGAGTTTAAAAGCCATTATAGTACAAGAGATTCTAAAGATAATCTGACCTGGATGTTATAGGCTGATTAATCCTTTGGTTCTAATATTTCTAGTTCGATTCTACGTTTCTCTTTTCTAAAATCTTATGGTGTCTGTTTATCCTAACTAGCGGCTCCCCATACGCTGGCACCGTATAGCCATTATAGAGCGCCACCGGGTTATACTACTTGATACGGAAAAAATGGGTTGATTTTAGTATTATGCTTATCTTGACTTTGCAGGATGTAAACCAGAGAAAACACATACGTAGTCAGAGCTTTACGGACCAGTCCGTTAACGTTCCAACGGTTCTACACAGCTTGGTTGGCCAGCCCAGTCTATAACTGTGACAAGGTTGACTTTAACCGACGAGCCTGCATTAAAGTCACGTTACTAGACGGTACCAACAAAGAGCGTTGTATCGCAGCTCGGCCGGGGACCTTTAGATATCTGGATAGGATCATGGACAAAGGATAATGGGTGAGAGATGTCTATCCTTTGTGGATCTACGCGGGCCTAGATTTGATGCGGGAGCAGAGTCTGACACCGCAGTGAGGCTGGCCTGGGGTCGTTAGAGGCCCACCACTCCTCGATGAAGCCCTCTTATCGCGTAGAAGCGCTGGTAATCATGGGGCTGCTATGAGCTGTGTGCAAAAAGGACCGACCCCGACGTCCTAGGTACTACATATGTTCTAGACCGGATCCCGAGTTCTCGAATTGCTGCAAAGACCCTCGTGGCTCGGCTCTGCAATACTCTTCCCCAGGGGCCGCAAAGGTTCACTGAAACCTCTGTCAGACCAGAAGACGTTCGATTCTGAGCTGTTCCTAATTTGTCAACTCGGTATGTAGTCCGCGTTTATTGATTGGAGGTTTGGATTGCTGGTATTAGAATCCGATGACCCAGACATATTGCCAGATTCCCATGATAAGATACATTGCCTTCGGCTAGTAATGGACTCCAGCCGGACAGATGGTTCAGGGTATTTAATATCTCAGAAAGTATTTAATATCCGGCCAGGCGGGTAAGACGCCCACGAACTATGAAGCATCTCAAGTAAGCCTCTCTCGCTACCAAGATCCAATTATTAGAAACCAGCCACAGTAGCGTAGCAGAACCTCTTCAACATTCTTTACAGCTACCTCATGTCCACTAGTAGTTATAACTACTCTCTACCAACATCACAATGGCGAGACAGAAGCATACCCATGGCTTGAAGAGTAGGACATCTCACAGCCACGCCGAACATGTAGACTACTATGGCTCAACAACCACTACGCCGTCAGATTTCGCCGGTTTCGTGGATCCCATCATGGACGGTTCAGCAATCTTCGACGAGTTGTCCCACAAAAGGTAAGCCGACGCCGTAGACTACGCTTAAGAATATTTTATCTAATTTGTATATAATAGTCTCTACTGGATCGACGACACTGATTCTTCACGGAATCGTATCAATGGAGATGAAGCACCAGTAACATCTATACAACACATATCAGGAAACATGGCATCGGTAGACCCCTATTCAAATACGCTGGACAAGTTAAGCGGCGGGATGTCAGAGTTCTTAAGCAATCAGAGTGCGGATGACCAGTCAATGGACCGGAATGGGAAACATCGGTGTTGGGATCACGGATGCAACGGGCGCGAGTTCTCATCCAAGAGCAACTTCGTGAGGCACGTAAAGGAAAGGTCAGGAGCCAGCACCAAGGGTGTCTGTCCCCTATGCGGGGCGATTTTCACTCGTAACTCTGCTAGAGATACGCATCTGGCCAAGCAGAGCTGCAACAGGATCCGTCGATATTCCAATGGTCGACCGCGTCCCAGCCGGCTTGCAGTCCTGGGCAATCCCCGCTTAGCTGCTGCTGCAGCGGCAGCCACCCAAGATATCCATTGGCAAGCGGTGGACTGGGGCGTAGGCGTCATGGGCGACTCAGGAGCGGCCGGATTCCTGCTTCCGAATTAATGCCTACCGCAGGGCGCGTAGGGCGAGACAACTCGCAGGTACTGTATTGGTTGTATTGGTAGGTAGGTAATTAGATGGGAACGCCCAGGTACGAATACCTAGGTTCAGGCGAAGTTTAGGAGACAAACTGGTTATACCCCCTGTCATTGAAGATCCGTCATGGAATTCAGGACAGATACGTAGGCGTATGAGGACATGAGAATACCTATGAGAGCGGCGCTACGTTGTCGGTTACAGTAGCAGGCGCAGATCACGATCACATCAAGATAATAAGAATAATTCCATCGATCACTGTAACCACACAATTGTGAAATGTGGTAGAGATCGGTGCCCAATTCCTCCAGAGCCTTTTAAGTTGCCTTTTTAGGTGGGGGGTATAATGCTACGTTGAAGACCCTTGAAAGAATTCACTTATGAATACGTAGGTTAGGTACCTAGTTTATTAAAAAAGGGGGTAATAAAACAAGTTTTATGTATAAAGGCCAATTTATACACAAGTGATGTTGCCACTACCCCTAACTATTGCCTATATCTTATTTTCTTATTTGAACCAATTAAAACTTTGGTGTTGATTCTTAACGCACCCTATACCGTGAGTATAAAAGCGCGCTTACAAGTAGGGCACAAGCACGCGTCTCGACTACATAATCGGGTTTTCCTCACGCCCGATAGGTAAAGAACCTAGTATGCTCCTACTGTTGGGAATTCGAGGTATTAAAGTACCGTAGTCCCAATCCCCACCTCCCGGAGTACCCCGGAGCTCACCCAAGCTATGGAACCCACTTACCCCATTAGGGAAATCTTGAGGGTGTCCAATTCGAAGGTATCAGAGGTTTTTCCCGATGCAACTTTAAGGTGTGCAAGAAGAAGATATATCACAAAGTTAATTAAAAACGTCATTGACGCGTATTCATTGGCGCGTATCCTAATAGAGATGGTATACGAGTAATGACGCGTGCATATACTACCTAAAGTAATCTATTCGGTAGTATAGCTTGCTACCCATTATAAACCCCAGATTCCGAATACCTAGTTAAGCTTCCAAGTTTATAAACTAGGTATGACAGAGAAGGTTAGGTACTTAGGTAAAGCTAAAGAGAGTTTTATAATATAAATAAAACTCTTTAATATCATTGAACTAACTTACAAATGACTTGTGTAAGTCGTGATCCTATATCGGCGTTTCGGGAGTACTTGGAATAGCTTCAGTTGACAGGTACCTACCTTAGTTTATGCATTGACAGATAATTAATAATCTAAAGAGTCTTAGGCTTTTAAGCTGAGACTTTGCGAGACTTTGCGCCCCCAAAGTATTCGTATGCTATCTGCGAAAAAAACCCCATCTAGAACCAATCGACATATTGATGCCAAGAGAAATCGGCAATTATTTCCGTATTCAGCTAACAATCCTCCAATACGATAGCCTCTTGAGGACAAGAGAAAGGAAAAAAAAAAGGATAAAAGAACGAACCAAAAAAAAAAAATCTAGTTGGCGCTGTGCTTACTACCTACGTAGGTACTTACCACCTGCATGGAACTGAGCAATTAGTCCGCAGTACGAGAGAAGCAATCGGAATCACGCGCCTGGCTCCCTGCAATAACACCTCCCATACAGATATGTATGATGAAACACAACTGCCGAAACACCTGCGAAGCTACCGAAGGATGGCAAACCACACTCTCGGAAAATTTCACAAAATTATAGGTTAGGTCGCCGTCGACCCAGTCCCCCCCCGACTCAGTCCCCCCATAGGTTCCCCCGTCACTCCGTCACATAGCCTGGAGAGCCGGGGCCGCCCGATCCTACTACTTATGTAAGGTGGTATACCATCGTCACTCACCCATTCCATTTTCGAGGTCGAGGTTATTTCGGCGTTCAGGTGACCAAGGTACGAAGCGAAAAAAGCTTACCATCCTGGCACCTAGTCTTCGATCGCCGTATCGGCCGGGCTTTCCGGGCGAGAAGGAGGAGGAGGAGGAAAACGTACGAGAAACTATGTAACTCATCGGTCAGGTCAGGTCAGATCAGAGTTGCAGGTCAGCATGACTTGCGTTTTGCTGGCCCCCATCCCTCCTTCAAGCAATCCCGCGGGTCGCGGCTCGCGGACTTGGACTTGGCTAGGGGACCCTCACCATCGAACAAATACGGGACCCGTCACTGCGGCTTGGTATGACCTGGTGACCTTGCCAAGACTTTAGACATCTGCATCCGGAAACAGTAGCAGTGTGTGTCTGCGTGCTGAGGTGGGTGTGCACTTAGCCCTAGTGAGTGGATCGCGTAAAACACGGCACGGCGCTGGGTCCCTCCTAACCTACCTATCTACGGATGAAGAAGGTTAGAAGGGAAAGTTAAGAGCTGAAAAGTACAGATTTGGAAATAAGGGGGGAAAAAGGTGAAACTATGGGTGCTCTCGGTCAAATTACTCGCTATGATCCTTCGTGTCATCAAGTGCCGGCGGAATGGGCAATATTCTAGTGGTGGGCAGTTTTATACCAGGCCGTGTTGCTCCGCATCAACCCGCTCCCTCGTCCGTAGTTGGGTCCACGTCGAGGAGCGTCGATCACTTGGACACAAGGCGAAGACGATACCGGGACAGGATCGACATTACGGCCCCGTCTCGCCGTGCCGTTTAATATATGCTTCCGCTGGTACTCTCCCATGTAATCGCCACGAGCTCCATCAGAAATCAGGTTTTTTGATCCAAAGATTTCTTCAACTCGCTCGCTAATTTATCCCTGAGCCCCCATTAAGACTTCTGCCTAAAGAAGCGCCAACATCCCCTCCTCAAGCAATTCTTATTCTTACTACTAGTCTGGCTGGCACCTTATCTCTCTAGTATATTAACAGCGTATTGAAATTTGTATTAACTATTTTACTACTAATTGTTTTTTTTATTTTTTGAAATGGCCGAGAGACATAGACACGCCTGATGTAGAAATGATGGACGGCCCTCTCCTGCAAGAATCAATAGCCATCCCGTGTCTTCGATCACCCCGAGTAACTCCCCTTTTGTCGATCGAGCGACAATTAACTTGGTCAAGCTTAGTCGAAGAAGACCCAGCAGCGAACCTCCATGGATCGGCGCGTCGGCGCATCCTCCGGGCTAGCATCGTCCCAGAAGGCGCCGTGCGGGCAGACCTTGTTCACGTCCGAGTCGAACGAAGAGAAGACAAGAGCCTCGTCTAGGTCGAGCCTACTTACGTAGTGGTACTTGTAACTGTTCATACCGTTCTTAGCCCCGCTTCGCCACATGCAAGTTTAAGAGGGTGGGATTTTTGTACTCACCCTGGGTCGTATTTCACGACGCTGTCGTGCTTCTTGTTGCCGCGGATGACTATCCTGGGGTCGTTGGTGGGGTACACGCGCGCCAGGTGCGTGTCGTAACTCCAGCCGTCGACGCCGCTGTGGTTGATGAAGCAGAGAGGCCACTTCTGGATGGGGTAGTCGATTGTGCGCCAGACGTTGACTTGGGCGAATCGCTTGCCCTGCTTGATCAGCTCGTCCGCCTGCTCGCCAAGGACCTCTCGTGCGCCATCTTCTCCTGTCACCGGGTCTCGGTCGACGTGAGCGACGGGAAGAGCGGCGTGCGAAAGCTGGGTGGGAGAAAACTCGCCGGCCTTGTGGCTGTTCTGGCGGATGCGGAATATGTAGGGGACTACAATGTCAGAGCCGGTGATCTGCTTGACCAGCTCCGTGACCTCCTTGTAGTAGACATCCTCGATGTATTTCTTGCCTAAGACGGTAAGATCTTGTTAACAAGAACAGTCCAGATGTTTTGATAGCCAGTTTCGTGAGTAAAAAAACGTACCTTCAGGGTCGTTACCAGCTAAGAACTGTTCGGGAGTCAAGGAAGACTTGTGCTTCACAATCCCGTATCCGTTATTCTCGTAGTTTGGCTGGGGGTTCAGTGTTCGGATGTCCTCGACCTCGATCTTGACCTGTAGAGGGTCTTGCACGTTGGTTGAGCCGGTAGCCCAGTCAATGTATCCTTCTTGCCTGCCATCTTTAGTACCATTCCACATGCCCATAGAGCCAGTGGTAGAAGCAACAGCAGCAGCAGCCATTTTAAATATGAGCGAGAAGTCTAGAGCGAGAAAGAGGTCTTGATGGTCGAAGAGGATATTGAGAACTAGCGCGATGCTAGGAAATGAGAGCCAACAGTGAGGTCAGAGTCAAAATGAATTATATAGCTATTTTGAAGTGCCTATCTAAACATCTAAAATACCCAACAGCTCTATCGCATAAGATCAGGATTCGTGGATTTCAGGATCTGGGGATTCAGGGGAACAGGGGATTAATGGATTGCGGGATTCAGGGATCCCCAAAGTCTAGCCCTACGAAATACTGAACACCTGTGTTACCCACGAGAAAGGGGGTAGACACCAGAAAACCCATCATCTCAAATAGTTTGCGAAATAATCATTTCGAACGATTCCTACTCTTAAACTCTATCGTACCTATATTTGAAGTACTCGCTCTTACTCTCATTCTTTCGCCTTATCTTAAACTATTCAACACATCGACCCAAAAATGCCGGGAATAACGGAGCACCACCTTGATGTCACAGACTCCCGCACGGGAAAGTCCTATACGATCCCAATACAAGGAGATTATATTCGTGCTGCTGACGTTGCCCGAATTGGTGCTCCGGACAGTAAAGAAGATCTAGCTACCTCTTTGAAGGCTCGTCCACTCCACATCATCGACAATGGCTTTCAATATACAGCCTGCATGGAGTCAAGCATCACTCACATGTATGTCTCTATAATACTATATTTTCTATTACTCATTATCTTTCCCACTTACTTATAACTCTGATGAACAGTGATGGCGTGCGCGGCACTATTCGATACCGGGATTTTCCCATCGAGAGTTTATTCCACCAATACGTTTATGAAGACATCATGCACCTCATTATCTGGGGCAGCATTCCCACTCAACAACAAAAGGATCATGTCCGAGAGGTCATGAGCGTTGCTATGAACCCGTCTCAAAGCGTCAAGGATGTTATCTCATCGTTCTCGTACGGCTACCCCCTATTTTACTGATAAAGCAAGAAACGTAGCATGGCATGGCAGAGTATCACTAACTCCAATCCCAGCCGCGACGCGGAGACGTTCCCGATGATCATCGCTGGAATGAGCGCTTTTGCCGCTAGCGACAGCATTATCTGCAAGACGCGTCACCAGCAGAGCGCCATGTTTCACGGACACCTCGACGTGGCCGATGAGGCCCTCGCGCGAACGATTGCGTATCTTGCAGCCACAATCTCGCTCGTCTACTGCCACAAGAACGACAAGCAATGGAACGCCCCCGAACCAAACCGGTCGTTACTCCAGAACCTGCTCCTGATGATGGGTATCACAGATCCTCAGGTGGAGAAGTGCTTGGCCAAGCTCTGGATCTTGTACGCGGACCACGAGATGACCAACTCGACTGCTGCCGTGCTGCACGCCGGATCGACGCTCATCGACCCGGTATCGGCGGTGACGGCCGGCATCATCTGCGGATACGGACCGTTGCACGGCGGCGCGATCGACCTGGCGTACGAGGCGTTCAGGCAGATCGGCACGGCGGAGCGCGTCCCACCATTCATCGAGCGCATCAAAGCAAAGGGCGGGCGGCTGTTCGGCTACGGACACCGTGTGTACAAGACGCGGGACCCTCGCGTCGCGCTTATCGAGGAGCTGCTAGAGGAGCACCAGGATGCCGTCGATGCTAACCCCCTCCTGCGCGTGGCCATGGCCATCGACAAGTACGCCAACCAGGACGCCTACTTCACTGAGAGAGGCCTCAAGGCAAATGCCGACCTGATGGGTTGCTTCCTCTACACTGCCATGTAAGTGCGACTCTACCGTAGCATGGCATCTCTCGGCGTGTAACAACCGGGTCTTGTCTTCCATCATCATCATCATCATCATCATTCGTCTATCCACCTGACGTATCCCATGCTGACTTTGTGCTACCTACCTGGTTAGGGGTTTTGACACTGACATGATCATCGCTATCACCATCCTCTCGAGGACTCCCGGCGCGTTGGCTCACTGGCGCGAAAGCCTGAGTAAGTTACCCCCTTTCCACCCCCCCACGCCTCGACGTACCCCACGTTTGGAGGTTCTGTACTGACAGGTTGTTGTGCAGCACAACCGGTAAAGTTGTGGCGGCCACAGCAGAAATACGTAGCACCGCTGGCGAACTAGGGTAGGGGGAAAGGCGGCACTAAGAAAATATGTACATACATACACGACTCCATTGTGAGGCGATCTTGATTGTTACACGACGATGGGATGTTTATACTATAGCGCATAGCTTAAAAAGCAAAGCCGTAGTATAGGTAGTAAACTAGGCAAATAGTAATAATACTGGGTTTTTAGGTCTTACATAAACTTCATTCTGGCGTTGCTATTAACTACCTCCTATTGCTTTTTGATACGTGCACTATACGTTTAAATTTCTCTAAACCGTATACGACGGCTTGCTTCCAACTGTTAATATCACCTACTTAAGCATCTACTACGTAAAGATTATTGCTAATTAATAACTACTATCATCTCAATTAGGCTCTACCTACTTACATTAGGTACCTCTATAATCTAGATATGTAGTCCAGACGCCACAAGCCAAAAACCCCAAGCTGAACTCCGTAAGATCGGCGCGAGGCTGCGCTGATCATGAACAGACCTGAGGGTAAAAATCCCATCCTCCTCCTCACATCCCCGTCCTCACATCCCCGTCCTCATCAGCTCCTCGCTTCGCCACAAGCGTCTCCATTGGCGCGCATGTCTGGTATGTAATATGTATGGATATCGCCGACGAGCCCAAAAAATCGGTTCGACAATTTATTTAGTACCTGACTTACTGACTGAGTGTACGTCTAGGGGTTGTATTACATACGGAGGTCTCACAAGGCGCCCAACCAAAGGGCATCGGCAATCTATGGCGTAGACTATCATTGGAAGCGAGTTATTTGCCGATGCAACGGTCGTTAATTTATCCTGATTTATGGCCCTTATCGTGCGGCAGTTGCGGGATTGCAGGATCGGTATGAATGTGACATCGTCCCGCTCGGCCGGAGTAGTGTCTTCACCTAGGTGTGCCTTATTATTGCGGTCCGCATATACTATGTATATATGTAGTTATGTAGGTAGTATCTTACGGGTTTATATTCGGAGGGGAGTGCGGCTATCAAGTAACATAGCTCTCTAACTGTATTAAGCCCCTGGGACCATGTAGGGCCATTACTAGGACAGATCTGCGTGCGGGCGAGATTCCGATTCGATACCTACCTATAACCAACCTTGAATCAATATCGTATTTCCCGGTGCCGTTAATCCCGGCCGAAATTATACACGTTGTGCTGTAAGTACCTACATATTCGCACACGCGCTCCAACCCAACTACTACCGACATGAGCGCCCAGCACCAGATATTCTACGTAAATCTGACTATACATTAGGTAGTTACATATATCTGTGCATAATCTTTCTGCAGCTTCTCTGACTCTTATCCCAAAGTGTACATACCGTGCCCTATTTCCTCTTCCAGTCCCCCATTCCCGTATTCCTTCAATCCAGGGCTCCGCTACCCACGGTCTCGGTCGCCCGCGATCTGAATTCCATTCTCGTTCTGGGGTGCAATGCTTCTCTCATCACATCTCGGTTGCGTCTCAGATGGAAGGGTCTGCTAGAATCGAATCCTACCTTCCTTCCCGCCTGTGTGTGATAGGTAGTCGAGGATCGCTTACATGCTTAGTCGAGAACTGTCCAAGTTACGCCACTCTATGTGGTATACTAGGGTGAAAGCGTGATCGGCGAGAGCTAGAACCTCCATGGTTGTCTTAGAGCCTACAAGAGTAAACCCCTCGGTAGTAGAGCACAGCATAGGTTGAGTTTGGGGCGATATTGTGCAAAGAGACTCATGGGTGCTTATAAGTAAATGCTATAGGTAGCAGCAGCATCTACTAGAGATAAGATCAGTCGGCAAGCCATGTATCTTTGAAGAGCATACATATGTAGGGCTGGGCTAGCTGGTACGTATTTGTAGCATGACACGTACATAGAGCTGGTGGGCCGACGCGTCTCACGAATCCAACATCGCTACCACACTACATAGATCCCGAATCTCCCGTTGACGAGACCATTGCTGTTCCTGGTTGGCACCTTATACCTCTGCCATTGGCGGAAGCTAGGGCCTAGACGAGTCTATTCTCGTCAGCATACGTTCTAGCCGTGGGATTATGAGCTGTTGGTCCTCAAGCCCTTCAAGGTTCATAAGAGGCGCCAAGACTTCCAGAGGCGAGATGGACAGACGAAAAGCCCTCTACACGAGCCACAATCTAGGCTTGACTGTCATCCGCCTGAAGGGCCGACAAGGAGTCCTCTGGGGGCGAGACTACAGCTCTACCACGAACTACCGAGCATCGTTGTTCGCCCATACAAGCTAATCCCGCCATCCCATGGGCCATGGCACGACGTGACGTACCGGAAGAGTATTCTATACTCTTAAAAGAAGTTAAACAGCGCCCCGGAACGCTTTTGGCTGCGCTCTGCTGGCGAGCCCTCTCCAGCTTTGACCACCGCGCAGCTTCCAACGTGAACTTCACGTGAATTTCACGTGAGTTTTGGTCCGCCTCTATACACCGGAGAACAACCAATCATGGAAGAGAAGCAGGAAATAACAACAGTGGTTATCGAGAAGGATGTTTCGGCGGTGGTGCCCCTTGACCTCCCAGAGGACCCCAAGAGGCCCAGTGAAGTAAGCGGCGACACTGTCATCGCCATTACCGACGACGATGCCGTGCCCAAGGAGTCGGCGGATACTCCGCCGGTCGAGGAGATCCCGCCCCAGTTCACGGTATACAAGCCGTGGCAGAAGCGGCTGATCGTCCTGAGCGCCGCCTTCAGCGCGTTGTTCGCTTCTTGGACGGCACAGATTTACTTACCTGCGCTGAATATCGCAGCTGCTGACTTGCATGTCTCAACCACTCGAATCAATCTCACAGTCACCAGCTACATGATTCTGCAGGGCGTTACGCCTATCTTCATTGGCGGGTTCGCTGATAGCTCGGGCCGTCGGCCGGCTTACCTGGCGTGTTTTGTGCTCTACATCATTGCCAATGTAGGCCTTGCTAAATCCGATAGTTACGGGAGTCTCCTGGGCCTCCGTTGCTTCCAGTCCGCTACTATATCCGCTACGCAGGCTCTATGTCAGGGCGTCGTGGCGGACATCGCGACCAGCGCGGAGCGTGGCCAGTACACGGCTCTCATCGCTGTGCCAGTCACGCTGGGGCCGAGTCTG